ACACAGTTACATCCCCAGACTTTGCTGTTATTATCATTTCTTAATTTTGAGACAGGGTCTTGCTAAAGTTTCTAGCTCTGTGATTCTCCTGCCTCAGCCTCCCAGAGTCCTGGGATTATAGGTATGTGCCACCACATTCCTGGCTCAGCTAAAATCTCTGTATCTGAAATGCTTGAGAACAGAAATGATTTTTAACTGTTCTGAGCATACAGCAGTTTGGTGGTGCGGAATTTCCCACTCGTGATGCCCAGCAGCACAGTGTTTGCGGGTTGGAGCCTTCCGGAGGTGGGCTCGTAGGTCAGGGACATCAGGCTGTGCTGAGGCTCAGGGGTGTTCAGGTGCAGAAGGAAGGAGGCAAGGATGCATGGTGCAGGGCTCTTGGGCCACCATGCACCTCCCGCACTTCTGTGGGACAGTGCGGGAAGAAGTTGAGGTGATTCGGGGGTCAGTGTGGCATTTTGGGGTGAGGGGATAAAGGGAGGTGTGCTGAAGGCTGGGATACCTGTGATGGCAGGCAGCTCTGAGTGGCAGTACCAGCATCACAGAGCACGGCCAGAGGTCAGTGCGGTCATCACCTCCGTCAAACATGGCCTCTGTTGGGAGCCACCACATTGCCGAGCCGCCGCATATAGCGATCATGCGGCCTGTGGTAAAGAGCAAAGCCTGAGTTAGATTACCCCTCCCATCGAGCACGTTAGTTTCCTGCTTACCGCGTAAACAACCCGCTCAATAATATGTTAGCCAATCAGCTTGCCTTGCTTACTTTAATATGATTGGACACTGTATCCGTATATATACTGGTGCCACCCCTGGGGGGAAGTAGAAGCCCGGAAGGAGCCGCAGAGAGCGGACCGGTAGAGGCTTCGGAGCGAAGCCCGGAAGGAGCCGCGGAGAGCGGACCGGTAGAGGCTTCGGAGCGAAGCACGGAAGGAGCCGCGGGGAGCGGACCAGAGGAGGCTTCGGCTGGGAGCGATCCCAGGGCAGGCTGTACGGAGAGAAAATAAAAGAAAAGGTTGTCCACTGCCAGACTTTGTCGTGTGTCCTTCCTGCCGGCCGGGAGCGACATCGACAGGCCTCCACCTGGAAGGCCTCTGGGGACGCTGGGGACAGAGGTGGTGCAGGAGTAGAGAAGCCAGGAGGATGCGAGTCTGAAGCCCCCAGGGGCAGAGTTAAGTGGAGACTCCAGGTGATTGAGAGGCGGAAGCAGAGAGGCAGCCAGGCCCTGGGGAACCTCAGCAAGGGCGACAGGATGGGTACTAACCGGTCCCAGTCAACAGCCCTTCCCAGATTACAAGAGCTTGGGGTAACCTAGTCACAGGGTGCTGCGACACAGCCCAGCGCATCAGGAACCGCCACCCAGGACAGCATCTGGGTGCAAGCACTTGCCGAGGACCAAGGGCCCGGAGCTCAGCAGCTGGGGCCTCCCACCCTCACTCAGTGCGGGGGCCACTGTGGCCTCCCACCCCAAATGTTACACTTCTGGCACCAGCCCTTCTGTCTCCCCACCCAAGACGGCCTTCCACCCACCCTGAAACCCATGCTTCTTTGAGAAATGTTCATCTTTAGAAGTATGAAAACACAAATAACAGCGATTTGTTCTTTCCAACTACGTTACCTGTATTTCTGAATCTACAATGAACACTTTGTTTTGGCTGATGTTTTAAATTTGAGCCTTCAATTTTCAAATCATGTATCAGCCCATCACAGGTAGTAAGCTTGAAATAGAATTCCATTTCTGCAAGCTTCCATTCCTGTGTGACTGATATACTAATTTATTATTTTTTTTAAAGAATTGAAGCAAATTTAAAAGCAAGAACACAAGAATTAGGGCTTAGTTTAGTTCTTTCTCTCCTAACTGAGGCAAAATACCTGGCATCCAAAGCCAAAGGAGGAAAGGCTTAGGTAGTCTGCAGTTTGTGAGGTTTCAGTCCCTAACTGGCTGGCTCCAAGGCCAGGAGGCAGGAGAGGAGAAGCAGTTCATGGTGGGAAGTAGGAAGCAGCGAGCCTCCCTTTCCCTTTTATCCCCTCCAGCTACTCACCTATTGGTGGGTGCCGCCCACAGCCAGGTGGGCTTTCCCATTATCCACACCCAGAACCGTGCTAAGCCAACCGGTAGCCTAACCCAGTTATCACACACACACCCGGCCCACAGCCACATGTCCTCCATATAGCCAGCTCCAAAAAGCGCCCCCGTGAGTGCAGGAGACTTTGGAGGATTTCTAGATAAACAGGCTACGTGTATCTAAACTTTCTTTCAGCTGAGCTGATAGAAAATTTGAATTTGTTATTATGAAATATCTTTAGTTTTAAAAAACAAATAAGCTGAATCCAGTTTACCTGGAGTGGGGTAGAGGTGGGTCCCATCCCCCCAAGGTCTGGTGCTAGCTGGCGCTTTGCGTTCTCGGGCATCCCGAGACCTGGTAGCTGCAAACCTGCGAAGAGGAAACGAAGAACTTGTCCAGGTCCCTGCACACTCTGGGAAGAGTGCGTTCACTTTGAAGAAAAAAACCAGACAAAACAGTAAAATGGACAGGCCGCGAGCTCGGACCACAGCCTGAGCCACTGAGTGCTGACCAGCCGTGAAGGGAGGTTTCTGTGCATGCCCCATGGAAAAGAAAGAGGTCTGTGGACAGAGAGGGGCCGTGGGGTGGAAGGAGGGGTTGGCGGGGGAGGAAGAGAACTGAGATGGGTTCCGTCCATGGGTCTGCTCCCCAGGACGAGATGAACCTTCTGCATGGCAAACGTGGAACGGTAAATATTTTAAGACAAAAAAATTAATTTGTGACAATAAGAAAGGATGGTAGTTAAAACAACAAACAAATACAATGCAAGACTAGTTCTGTGACTGCACTAAAACACCTCGTGGCATAGAGGGGCATAAACCTGATGCCTGCTCCAGGAGCTGAGGGGACAGGCCAGGGGGCAGGGACAGCCTGCAGGAGAGGAATGCATGGAGCCAGGGGCAGGGGAACCCTTGGTCATGCGGTCATGCACTGTTCCAAGTGCTGTTGACTCCAGGGTTTCCTTTTTTCTCTTTCTTTCTTTCTTTCTTTCTTTCTTTCTTTCTTTCTTTCTTTCCTTTCTTTCTCTCTCTCTTCTTCTTTTCTTTCTTTCTTTCTTTCTTTCTTTCTTTCTTTCTTTCTTTCTTTCTTTCTTTCTTTCTTCTTTCTCTTTCTTTCTTTTTTTGAGACAGGGTCTTACTGTGTAGTCCAGACTGGCTTCAAATCCGTGGCAGTCCTCCTGCCTCAGCCTCCGGAGTGCTGAGATTAAGGTGTGTGCCACCAAACCTGGCTGTAGGGTCTTCAAAGCCATGTTTTATCAGGTTGAGGAAATTCTCCATTATTAGTGTACTGAGAGGTTTGTTTTGTTTTGAACCAGGCAGAGGGGTTGAGTTTCTCTTCACCAGTTCTTCTCTATATAGTTTATGTTGAGTTTGTCAAACATTAAACCAAGATTACCTTCCCATTATAAACTCCACTTGGTCATGAGGAATTAAGTCATTTAAAAATAATGCTACCAAATCTGGGTTTACGGTAATACGTGACAGTTGGATTGGACCTGCTAACATACGTCTACAGCTTTCTCCCCACGACTCTGGGTTTTGCTGTGGAAATGACTCTGACCGTACCTTATGGATGAGGAATCCATGTACTTTTCTATTCTAGTTTCTGTAGGATTTTTGCACATGTTCGAATTACGTTTTCGGTAATTAAGTGGAAGAATTACCCCGTGCCGCTACCTGGCCTGGTGTTGTCTTTCTTTTATGAAAAAATGAAACAAATTTAATAAGCAAATCATAAGAGATGAATGGTAGTTATTGCACTGTATACCATTATTTTCAAAGTAGTCACTTAGCACACGACATAAACCAAAGAGATTCCTGCAAGACAGCAACAGATAATGATACAAACTTTGTCTTCGATGAAAACCTTGATTAAGCTTTTCGGAGCTGTTCCTTTTTTTAAAAAAATTTTTTATTTAAGGAGAAAAGAAAAAAAAAAACAGTGAAAGGGTACAAGTTATACAGATTTACAGAAGAAAAAAATGAACAGTAGGAAATCATTAGTTGATGGATTACATATTGCCATCTTAGAAATAATTGTCGGAGCTGTTCCTGCCGGCGCCTGATGCTGCTGCTCCTCGGTGCTGGCCGCGGGCTCCTGTGGGGGGGTGGGGGTCCCGGTGCGCCCCCCTTTGCCTGTCTGTGTGGTCCGTGGGGCTCTGGAAAACACCTTCCTGCTATGGAAGTTTCTCTGCACCCGGGCTGCGTGCGGGTTCTTGGTGCCTCTGCTCTGCAGGGCCCGGCGGGGCCCTGGCTGGCAGCGCTCAGCGGCTGGAAGCTCTGCTGTCATAACTGTTTTTCCCAGTGTCCTCTGTCCCCCTTCTGTGACATGAGTGACGCGGACTCGTGCCTGGGAAGCCTCCCTCAGCTCCCAGAGACCTTCTCGTTCTCAGCTTTTCCCTCTCCATCCTTGTTTCTAGATTTCCTCTCCCTGCACTCTCCAAGTCCTGGGCCGCTTCTTGCAGTGTCTAATTTTTGCCCTTCATGGAAAAAATAGTTTCAACACCCGGATTTCCTTCTGCCTCCCCCTGACCCCGAGGCTTTTGCATATCCTAGTCCTTCACCGTGTGGTGTTTTTCTTTAGCTAACAGAATGTATTTTGTAGGATGTTCATGGTATGGTTGAAAAACACAGCCAATGTTTAAAATATTTAAAATTTAATTCAGGAAGAGACATATGCCCCTAATCCCACTCACAATACCCCCTTGCTTTGGACACTTATTCTGCTGTTCTCCTCAATGCTCTTACTTACTGTAACTTAACGTGATTTTTGAGAAGTTAGAGACCCAAGGTGTCCTTTGACTGCCTTTGGCTGCAGGCTGTCTCAGGTCCGTTGCTGTGACTCTGTCGTCACGATCATTTTTTATCTCTTTTGTGTCTGCTGATTTTTTTCTTCTGGTTTTGGGTCAAAGTTTCTTGCTTACTTGATGATTGGTGATTTTGGATAGGAGACAGACAGTTGTAAATTTTACGTTGTTGTGTGAAGAATTTTGTGTATTCTGGCAGTCATTGTTGGTTGTCTTGGCAAGTGATTCCGTGGCTTTGGACTCAATCTGAGAGCTCTATGGCTCACTTACAAGCTTTTGTGGGTTTGGGACGGCCTCTATCGGTGCGGCCTAGCCTTTTGAGGGGAGTTTACCATCTTTTGGTCATAGGGTCCGTCCACCCAGCAGTGGGAGCAATGCCCAGCAACCGTGAGCCTCGAGTTCAAGAAAACCCGTAGGATCCTGTTATCTCAGAGCAAATGTGACTGTAGGAAAGGATGGAACCTGATTTATACCGTTTCCCCTTTGTCTTTAAAAATGATGTCAGTATTGTTATTTTCTTTTCTATTCAACTTTTGTCTTTCCATAACTACAAATGCAAAATCTAAACCCAAAAAACGTTCCTCAAGGAATATGAATTGAATGACTGTGAAGTAAAAATGTCCCCATCGGTGAGCTGCAGGGTGAGATGAAGAGCTGGGCTTGCTCATTTTAAGTCCTGACGGAACTTTGGTGGCAGCGTAAATCTCGACCTGTTCTCAGAGGGTGGCCCTGAGCGCTCGGGGGTCTGAACCGTGTTAAAGCCTCTGCTGGAAGCCAGCTCCGAGGCCTGTGCTGAGCGGTCCTGGCTTTCTTTCCGTCTTGTCTTCTTCCTGGTGAAAGGAGGTCCACTGAGGCTCTGGGGAGGAGCCAGCCCCCCTTCCTTATCCTCCTGGTCTCAGCCTGAGGGGAGGGATGAGGGGAACAGGCAAGGGCTGGAAGGAAAGAGAGAGATGGGGAGAGAGACTTTCAAAATGTGGTAGAACTGAAGCAGCACTTTTCCTAGGGAAAAAGCTCCCCCTCCCCCAATGCTGGGGATGAGCCCAGGGCCTTTGCACTGAGCTGTGTTCCCAGCCCTCTTTTTATTTTTTAAGACAAGGTCTCGCTCAGTTGCTAAGCAGCCAGGCTGGGCTCAAGCTTGCATCCTTCTGCCTCAGCCTCCCAGAGTGCTCAGGTTGTAGAAATGTACCACCAGGCCCTGACTCCTATCTGTTTTTGACTTGCATCAAAACTTGTCTCTCCCAGGAGCAAGGAAAAAGGAAGCCAATCTTAAGTCATGGATGGTGTTACAAATTTCCGTCCAATCCCGCACGACTGCTAGGAATCCGGTTAAAGTTTCAGGGCTGCATTCTGGGAGGACACTGTGGCATCTGGGGGAGGGGTCAAGAAGGAGCAGAGGATTCGTTTCTAGAAGCTGGAAGTGCTGGATTTGTTTACTGCACCAAAGAGAAAGAAAGCGTGAGAAAGATGTGCTGGAGATTCGCTGAGCCGAAAGGAGCTCGGAAACCGGGAATGGCCTTGCCTGTGTTGGCTCCATGACGACTCCTCGGCGTCCTGTCCTCCTCCTGGCCCCAGCCAGCCTGGTCCTCAGGGTGTGAGGGGCAGGCCTGCATCATCAGGGAGCCTCCGCTGGACGTCAGCTCTGTCACCAACAGGAGGCTCATGTGTAGGTATGAGATGGAGTCTCCCTGTGTAGCCCAGGCTGGCTTTGAATTTGTGGCAAGCCTCCTGTCTCAGCCTCCTCCAGTGCTCCTGGCAGGAATCTGGGGTGGCTGAGTACCCCAGGGTCAGGTTTAAGTGAGGGGAGGATTGAAGCTGTTTGGAGGTTTGGTACTGAGCTCCCTGCCCTAAAAACACCTGAGCTTGCACAAACTAATGGCCCAGCAGAAATTATTTCTTAAAGGGATTCTTCTCTTCATCAATACTCCCCTCCCATCTATATTTTAAATTATGCACAAAACTGAGCGTAATGGTACACATTTATCATTCCAGCACTCAGGAGGCTGAGGCAGGAGGATCACTGTGAGTTCTAGGCCAGCCTGGGCCACATAGATCAAAGCTAGCCTGGACTACATAGAGAGACTCTGGTTAATAAAAAAAAAAAAAAAGAAAAAAAAGTACACATTGCACACGAATGCTAATTTTCTCTTGAACCACAAGATGGCAGTAAAGTCCTACTCTTTGGGAACTGAGTCTATCGCCCCTGAGATCCAGCCACAGTCCTTTTTAGTTTCTATTTTGAGACAGGGTCTTGCCAAGTCACTAAATTGCTCAGGCTGGACTTGAATTTGAGCTCCTCCTGCCTCAGCCTCCCAGAGCACCACCATTCCCAGGCGGAGCCGTGTCCTGAAGCTGCATCCACAAGCAAGGCTAAGTTATGTGACTTGACACAGAGGTGACACAGAGGTCTGGTCACTTCCTGTACCGGTGTTCTATGCAGTGTGGTCTTTCCTAAGCCTCCGTGAATGTCCGCCTTACCAGGCTGGATCCGTTTCCAGTGGATAACGCTGACCACCAAGCTGAGCCTGCGGGCCAGTCATGGTGAGCTCATGCGTGCACACGCACACCTCTCAGAAGAGCAGCACTCACTACTGGCTGACCAAGCGGGGACGCAGCGTCCCCAGCGTGCCTGTGTGCTCAGGAGTAGGACCTTCACAGGCGAGGGCTCCTCGGTGGATTCCACTAACGGATCCAGAACTGAGTGTGGTTAGGAGGCGAAGGGCCACCCGGGCGTGGCTGGAGGCTCATTCTCTCCCTCCGGCTCTCCCCTTCTCTTCTGCTTCCTGTCCACCAGGTCTCCAGCCGCTCCTCTCCCCCAGGTCCTTCCTCCTGACCATGAGCTGACTTCTCCTAAAGCGTGATCCGGGATAACCCTCTCCTCCTTTAAGGGGTGAGTCCCAGCAACGAGAAGGTGACTGAGACGCCGACTTTGTATCTTCCATGCTTTTTCTAGAGAAAATAGGAACTATTGGTAGAGCCTGGATGTACATTCCTTCCTGTGTCTCAACAGAAATAAACCATTTGCAGAAATATGCAGGAGAAAAGGCAACAGGAAAGGAAAGAGCCTTCGGAAGGAACACCAAGCCAACAGCTGGTTAGTGAGGACTGATGAGCTGATCACACGGCAGTGCATTTCTGCTGCTAGTAAGTAAACACCCATGGATTCAATTTTCATACAATATTCACGATATGAGTTTATAGTTCCACCTGAAAAAGGAGGCTGGGAATATTGTCTGTCTGTCTGCCTGCCTGTCTTTATTTTTTCCTTCTTTTTAATGCCCTGGGATTGAACCCAGGGCCGTTGCACTGAGCTACACATCCTCAACCTTTCATTTACTTATTTTGAAACAGGGATTTGCTATATTCTTAATATGCCCGTGCCTGGGCTTCAGATTGCAGTCTTCCTGCCTTGGCCTCCTAGTCGTGAGGTTACAGGGGTTCACCCAAACACTAGCCTCTATACTTGTTTATGACTGCACCCTAGAACTCCTCAAATGGAACCCCAATCTTTCCCTTAGAATGGACTTTAATAACGAGTGTATTGGTAAATATTGTTCTTTCCTAAATTAACGGCTCTCATATTTACTCCTAAGAGGAGGCAGGGCAGCCTGCATCTTCCACCAAACATTAACTGAGTGCCCGAGACTCGCCAGGCACTATGCACAGAAGTGCCCTGGCTGGGTTAAGGGGAGCAAGGAGGGCTGTCTGCAGGATGGGGTCTGAAGGGACAGGACGGGCCCTGTGGGGTGACTGACAGGGACTGTGGCTCCATGCGTGTGTCAGGGACAGTTTCAGAGTCCCTGAGCTGGGTCCTATGTGGCATTCGGCAGGAAGGGGAAGGGAGCAGAGGATTGGGGGACAGGGACCTGGTGATCGGGTCCCCCGCACAGCTCCCCCATCCACACTGCATCGCTGGCTGCTCTTCCCCCAGAAGCTGCAGGCTGAGCATCCATCCCGCCTCCTCGGGGGGCAGCCATGGCTGCCAGCCTCCTGCTGTCACACCTTATGTCCCAGAGTCACAAGCCCAGTGTCTTGGCAGGGAGGTGAAGCTGTTGCCAGGATGCCCAGGAGCGAGTCTATCCAGGACACCCCAGACTCCCTGCCCTCCTGCTCCCCATGCAAACCCAACCAGAGCCTAGGCTGAAAACTGTGGACAGCAGCGAATCCTCCCGCTGGGTGCCAGCAGGTTTGACACCCTTTCTGAAGACAAATTCATTTAACTGTCCCGGTGGCTTCAGGTGGAGCCCTGCTGTGTAACACATTAGTTGGAGGAGACGCAAAAAGACCGGGGAGCTGGGTGTGCAGGGCCAGTGTTCAGACGGGTCCAGCGCCTGTCCCCGGTGCCTGTCCCGCCTCTTCCACCCAGGATCCTGTTGGGAGGTTCCCAGGCTGAGGCACAGCGGGAGGAGGTGCTCAGGTCCTCGGTGACAATGATAGGAAGTGACAGGTGCATTGAGTGGGCATGGTCGGTGCAGGCAGGAGGGACACTGGCCGGGTCAGCAGGTGGAGGGGGCAGGAGGGTCCTTTCACTGCCACTGCGCGAGGAAAACGTCCTCCGCTTGCACTCTTGTGTTTCTGTTGTTAAGCAGGAGGTGTCAGAGAACGTATTGGACCCAGAGATGCACATGGCAGCGCCCCGGACACACAGACCCCAGTGCCACAGAGGTGCCGGATGTCTCTGGCCCCGCGGAGTCTGCAGTCCACTCCGTCACAGTGCGTGCACTTTGTTGAGCGTGGGTTTCCGAGCAATATCCGAACATGAATTTCACTGCTCTTCAGGGTTTTCAGTTACACTGCTGCGTACTTACCTACGGAGAAATTTATGCCACAGGAAAACGCAGAGCAACGTAAGGAGTCCTGGGCTCTGCTGTCCTTTTCTTCCTAATGAACTGCACCATTTACAAGAAACAAACGCTGTTCCATCCCAGGGCTTCTGAGTGGCCACCAGATGGCAGAAGGTGTGAGCCCGCTGGCATGACAGGGTCACCGGGCACGTGATGACCTGAACCCCAACTCCAGGGAACTGCATTTGAGAAAATGTCCTTGTGCCCGCTTGGCCCCCAGTTCCCTTCGCCATCTGCAGAAGGGACTGGGTGGGTTGGAAGTGATGTGGCCAGGCCTTTTCTAAATCGTGGATTCTGTGGGATGCTGGTGTTACATAAGGAATCGGTGATCACACAAGGGGACTGACACAGTGCTGTCAGAGGAAATCAGAAAGGAAGCCCTGTTACAGCAAAAATAACCGCGTCTAAGAAGGTTTCTTCAGCTCCAAAAGAAACTCGAAACGTGCCTTCAAGGGAAAAAAAAATGCTTGTACTCCTTCAAATTTCCCTTAATAAAAACTTTTCTTTTGCCTATAATTTATCCTGAAGGCAGAAAATATTGAGTGCAAAAGCTTCTCCCACCCAGACCCGAGGGGAAACTGTTGCAGGAGACGCTGCAGAGTGGCGTCTGGCTGCCGGGGGTGAGCGCTCCGTCTGCCACGCACCCTGGAAATCCCCGCTGTTGCTGTAGGGTCCCGGTTTCTGTTAGGAAGGGAGGGCACACTGAGAACGGAAAGTCAGCTGGAAAGTGAGATATGCGAAGTAAATGGAAAAAAAACACCATCTTTTGTTCCTTTGGCTTCGATTTTGGGTCTTGGAGGTGACGTGAGCACAGTGGACGGGAGCCCGCTGTCCAGACGCCCTCTCCTGAGAGGCGGAGCCCCTACTGCCTGCGGGGACGTGGGCCAGAGACCCCCGTCAGGGCCGCAGGGCCACGGATCTTTGTTCTCCCACAAGGAGACCACGTGAGCGTCCAGGTCCCTTCCTTCACATGGCCCTCTAAAGGGCGTCCTGATTTAGCTTTGCACTTTGACTGCAGACTTCCTCCTGGTGCGCTCTGTGAAGATCAAGAAGCCAACTGTGACAGGTAAGCATTCTCTCAGAGTCAGAGGTGGTGACAGTGACGGGTCAGTGTCAGTGAAGCGGTGTCGAGATCTCACGGCCCGCGTGTTCTCTTTGCTGAGGGCAGCGAGCAGATCCCCCTGGGTCAGCAGGAAAGAGGAAGAGGTCCTGTCCCGTGATTGTTCTGTGCCCGGGGAGGGCATGGACGGTTACGGCCAAGGGCTTCTTCTGGCCCAGGGTAACAGGAGAAGGCGGGAAAACAGACATTTCAGGTTAACAGGCAAATACTTTCAGGACACTTGGAATTCCTTACTTTGACTTCCATTCCTTAGAGCATCGTAGATCTTTCGCCTTCCATTTAGAATACTGTCCAGTGACGTCTGGGTCTTCAAGTACTGAAATTAGAGCATTAAAAAGAGAGGTAATTACACGCGGAAAATAACTCGCTTCGCACTAAGTTGGTCGCAGTCTACAGTTCAAGGCATTATGCTGTGCAGAAATCCCAGGTTCCACCCGTTCGCCATGGCGGTGAAACGCTCGCTGCTGTTTGAGTAGGGAGATTGTGACTTGGGAGCTGCTTTGCCCACACCGACATTCGCTTTTGTGTCTTGGAGGTGACGTGAGCACAGTGGACGGGAGCCCGCTGTCCAGACGCCCTTCCTGAGAGGCAGAGCCCCTACTGCCTGCGGGCAGCTCTCGGAAAAGCCCTCCAGCCTCCCACTTTTGCTTAGGACACCGTTTTCCCAAGTCAGTCTTTTCTTATTCATGTTTCTGCTACAATTCATGGCCAGGGTTGGGGTGTCACTCGGTGGCAGAGAGCATTCTTAGCATGTGTGCGGCCCTGGGTGCATCCCATGAAACACACCACAACCACACACTTGCACACACACACACACACACACGCACACACACACATGCATGCACACACACAACACACACCCAGACCTGGCTCGGGATCTTGACTTGGCTGGAGCTACGAAGACACAGGTGGATCCCTGCGTCCTTTCCTGTGCACCATCAGTCAGCTCCAATCCACATGCGGAGCCTTGGGAATCGCTTTACGTCACTGTCTCCTAGTCTGTGATTGATTGTAAGCCTTCTATCATCCATCAAGTTCACATCCAGTTTACTGAAAACCCACGGTGCTTAAAGCACTGGTAATTCTCACAGGAAATGTGATCAGACCAAACTATCAATTCACAAATCCCCGACCTATCAATTATAAATTCACAGATCCCTGACCTGTCGATTGCTCGTCCTTGTTCTGAGTTTGCAGCTGGTCTGCCAGTGCAGCCAGGCCCTCTCCTAGTCCTTCCCCTCTGGAGCATCCTGCTCTCCGGTGTTCCATTCTCCTTTTAACCTGGTGACATTTGCCACTGATAAGGGAAAACCCACTTAAAGCAATCTGTTCTATTAAACTGCATGGTTTTCAGCACAATGTTCCTGTCTCTTTTGTTTCTTTTCCTGCCCTGCACACAGATAAGCACCACCACTCGCGGGTCCCTCGGGCTCTGCTGACGCTCGCTGTGTGTGCGGGGTTTCCGTGACTCTCTTCCATTCTGCTAGCAGCGAGTGAGGGTCCCCAGAGCCCAGGCTGGGAGCTCTTTGCCTGCTTCTGGTGTCTCTGACGACAACATCACCACCGCTGTCACTGGCTCCCGGGCACTCATGAGGTGACCGCCACCCAGGACCGGGTGACAGGTGAGCGGGGCCGGAGCCGCTGAGGAATGTCTGCTCCTTGGCGATCTTCACAGCGCGTGGCCAAAACTTAAAATTTAATCTCTCTCAAATGCTATTTCCTTTGGAGGCTCCTGTTCAAGCATAATTCCTACTTCTCCCTAATTTTTTGAAATTGCCTTTCCTACATTTTACATTTAAATATATACAGCTGGCAGGCAGCTCTAATGTCTGCTGCAGCCCCGATGACATGGCCATCTTTCCTGATGGTCCCACGAGTGCCCATCAGTGACTCATTCTTCTCCTTGCTCCCCTGAAGCCCCCCACGAGGTGGAAGGGCCTCGCATCGCCTGCAGATTTCTATTTAATATTTCCCGTATTTTATCTCTGAGATTTTCCCACTCATCCTCCTCCTATCACCTGCCTGGAAATGTTTCAAAAAGATCATCACAGTACTTATCTTCCTTCTTTTCTTTGTTTCTTTTTCTTTCTTTCTTTCTTTCTTTCTTTCTTTCTTTCTTTCTTTCTGTGTCTGTCTTTCTTTCTTTCTTTCTTTCTTTCTTTCTTTCTTTCTTTTCTTTCTTTCTTTCTCTCTTTTCTTGTTTTGTTGATTTTTTTTCAGACACAATCTCATTGCATATGTCAGGCTGGCCTGGACTTCAGCCTCCTGGCTGTGGGATTACAGGTGCCCTGTGCCCTCCGCCCACTCTGGGCATCTTCTTGTCCCCAGGGCACTGTCAGTGATGCACATGAGATGTGCTCCATGCAATGCTGCTTGGGGCCACAGACCAAGGAGAGGGGCAGGAGACTCTATCTGAAGCTCCGAGTTGAAAACACAGCCTTCTGATGCTGATTCCTCCTGGGGCTGCGGGCTGCTTGCTCCCGCTCTGGGTTCTGCTGTGGTTCTCCTGGATGTCCGGGGCTGAGCCCAGCTCTCCATCCTGCTGTTCAGCTTCCTTACAGTGCACCCTGAGGCCCACAGGCACAGAAGCAGAGCTGCACGTCACCCTTCCTGCTGGGCACCCTGTCCTGAGAGTGCAGGACCCTGGGCCCCGTTAGCTGGACGTGGCACATCAGTGGCCAATAGGCTGGAGCTGCTGGTCTGACAGCTGGACACTATCTTCCCCCACCTGGTCCCTCCCTACAGTGGCCTCAGACAGCTGTCAGCTGCCTCCTGCTTCCCTGCTGGGTTGGTCCAGATGTTCCTGGTGGCTGAGAGCCACTGCACAGGGACAGAGAGTGCCCCCTCTGACACATAGATGCACGCAGGGGACACTGCTTTGTTGCCAGCTCCTAGTCAAGGGGTGGAGGTCTCTGGGTAGGATCGAGGACCCCCATGTGCAGGGCTGTTGGGTTTGTCCTGGTGACAGTAAATGGACACTGGGGAGCCTGCACAGTGGGGCAGGAGCATGCCGGGCTGAAGGAATCCTCCTCCTGGAATCTGGGCATTTCCTGTGGGGTCACATGTTGTCATTAGAGAGCTGCTGCCCACAGCCAGCTATTGGTCTGTACCAGGAATCAAACTCAGGACCTTGTGCTTGCCAGGCCGACACTTGTGCTGCTGAGCTAAATCCCTGGCCCCAAGCGTGGGTCGTTTCCCCATGCAGTTGCCTGCAGTGATGAACTCCAAAGTGGAGCTACACACACACACACACACACACACACACACACACACACACAGGACCTGCCTCAAGGTCACTTGATGGCAAGCAGGCGGGACATTGGGACAGAGACCCGGTGCCAGGCCCAACCTCAGGTTCTCATTCAGTGCTTGCTACATGCTGTACACGCTTTGGCCCATGAGGTGTGCGCCACCTTGATGGTTCTCATTTTTAGGCAGGGAACTGGGACGCAGAGCGGGTGCCAGCACAGCTGGAGAGTGGCAGGGTCAGGATCGAGCCCTGCTAATCTGGTTCCGCAACTGAGCTTCTTTGCCAACATGGTGATCTCCTGCCCACGTGTGACCTTCGTGAGTTACTTAGTTCTCCTGGTCTTGGCTTTCTTGTCCGTAAGACAGGGCGATGATATTAACGCTGCCTTGCTCCTGGGGTGGGGTACCATGCTGCACGGTAAATGTTAAATGAGTAAAAGAATGACAGAGTGAGACAGTTACAGACAGGTGTGGGTACGCGGACCTCATAAATTAGATTATGCAAGAGTAAATTAGCATTATCACGATACTGAGGTAGACTTGGGGCACAAAGTTATGGAAAACAATTAATATACAAAATCAAAATATAACTGTTCTCTACTCATAAGAGACAGTGCTTAAAAATACGCACAAGGGTTTAACAATCTTCCCAGTGATAAGAAGTTAAGTGTAGAAAATGAAGTTCCTGGAAGTGTTCCTTCTGCTTCTGAGTCTTTGAAGAAGCATTCTATAATCTACCAGCTTCGTCTTTGTTATTGCCAGGAAATTAGGCCACTGAAAAGGTAGCGCTGGGCCAAACCCAGCTGACTCCCCACAGACCAAACGGCCAGCAGCAGCGCACGGAAAGTTCTCTTTGTGATGAGGCGCTGGCTGGTTCTGAAAGAACCTGAACCGCTCTTACCCAGTCCTGTGGGGGAGGAAGAGGCAGGGAGCTTGTGCAATGTGGCACCAGGTGCTGGATTCGAAACGTCTGGAGGTCCCCAGACTGGCCGTGACCTCTATTAGCTGTCAGCTTTACAAAGAGGGGTGAGTTCTATACTGGGAGCCATACACTTGAAGATCTGGGGGTCAGAATCTTAGGAGGAAGAAACTGGCATCCTTGAGCGTGATTCTTTCCTCCCATTTTTAGTTCTTCCTTTCGGGAGAGGCGCTCCCAGCTTCCTCAGGCTCTGGGCTGTGCCTCTGCTCCTCTTCCCACTCTGGCGTTGCCAGGCGTCCTGGATGCTTGCATGCTACTCCAAAAACCACCGTCCTGTACCAACCGGCTTGTGTCTTGGTTAGAGGACCTTACCCTGAGTGGCACCCTGGAGTGTGTGGGTCACTGTGTGAGCCCCGCACCCTGCAGTCAGGGTCCCCGTGCGCCTTGCTGCCAGCCCTGGGCCCCTCCATAGCAGTGCCCGAGTGGACAGCCAGCCCCCAGCCACATACCTTTGACTAAACATTGGTGGACCCCGGGGTCTGAGATGATTACATTTTTGATGTTGGCAGTGTTTCTAAAATCTGTGACTCCAAAACACCTGAAGTGTTTTTGATCATCCATCTCTGAGTGAGGGTAGTGACTTGTGAGCATAAACCACAAACAACCAACTTCCCGAAAGAACATGTGGATTCTTCAAGGTCACTTCTCTCACCTGTGCTTTTATTTGTGAACCTTTTGCCTCATTGGGGGCCTAAACCTAGATATTACTGTCCCCTTCCTTCCTTCCTTCCTTCCTTCCTTCCTTCCTTCCTTCCTTCCTTCCTTCCTTCCTTCTGTCTTTCTCTTTCTTTTCTTTTCTCTCCTTTTCTTTTTTCTTTCTCGCTTTCTCTGTGCTGACAACTGAACTCAGAGCCCCACTCAGCCGGGCATGAATTCCGCACTGAGCCATCCTTTTTTCTTTTGAGCAGACATCCTAGGTTGCTGGCTTAGCCTTGAACCCTGACCCTCCTCAGCCCCTGGTGCTGGGTGACAGCAGGCACCGCCACATGCAGCAGTTGTGCCATGACTGTGATGCCCAGGCTGGAGCGGCCGCTTTTGCAGCACTGTAGGACAGAGCAGCCAGGTACAGAAAACATGTCTGGCTTAGACAAGAAAATGAGAAAGCAGTGAGAAACAGTGACGGTCTCTGGGCAGGACAGGAACTGAAGGGAGAAATGGTGGCTCGGGGGACCGAAGGACAAACTGCTTTGCCGTGTCTCAGACAGGACGAGCCGCTGTCACCCATAGGTGAGGCATGGGGTGTGCACGGGGAAGTGCGTTGGTAGAGCTAGGCTGAAGAAGGCACAGTGCGGGGAGCTCCAGAGAGATTGGGGTGAGGGGGCTGGGAGAAGTCATCGTGGAGGAAAGGGCAGAGGTGTCAGGGAGAAAGAAGAGAAATTGCGGCCATGTGGTGTCATTTAAATCAAGGAGAGCAAAGCCAATGAGCTGACGCGAGGAAGGTCAGAAGGCGTCCCAGAACAGGAAAGGGACACAGAGCATGCAGGTAGACCAGATGACCTACTCTGATCTGAATTAAAGGAACAGTAACCTGAGGGGCCAGGCAAGGGACCAGGAAGGTGCCTGGCTCTCCTTCTGTCTTTTTGGGTCCTGACATGTGATGGTAATGACTGATCCTTCCACTTATGAAGAGGATTGCACAGCCCTCGGGCTCAGGGCCTCTGGTTGAATTCTGCTTAATGCATCTGCGGGCTCAGAGGGGGATCGTGCCTAGAATTGAAAGGGTCCCTCCTGCTGGGAAGATTTCTTGCAGGGTGAAGGGGGTTAAGTAAACCCTGTAGGTCTAAGAGCTTCATCTTTTATTTCCTCAGTTGCCTACCCTTCCTCTGGCTTTTAATCAGACTGTAGCCCAGTACTCCACAGAGGAACTAAGTTAACAGCTGTGGGATGAAGATTGTAAGGTGCCCACGGAGAAGTCTACCGCTTTGACAGAGCAGATGTGCACTGGAAATAAGACAAGCTGAGAATAAAGAGGGGACCCATAGATGGCGAGAGGACACAGGAGAAGGCTGGGTCACCTTACATGGCCTTCTGTGGTCTTCCATGGTTTTCGACGTCGCTATTCTACACCAGGTTTTGTAGTAATCATCAAATGAGATCACTTTGGATGGCCTGAAAATGAGATAGAAAGCAGACATGGGTGGTGTGCAATGGAGCCTTCGAGAAATGTTTATCCAAGTGCACTGCTCAGGTGGCACCCAGTCCAGGGACAAGGGCTGGCGGGAAGCTCTAACTCACATCTCCAATAAATGGACCTGACAACATGCATTTCCAAAACTCTAACCCCTAACCCTAACCTCAAACTCTTACTGCTAACCTCCAATCCCTAATCTCTAACCCCTAGCCTCTAACCTCCAACCCCTAACCCCTAGCCTCTAACCTCCAACCCCTAACCCCTAACCCCTAGCCTCTAACCTCCAACCCCTAACCCCTAGCCTCTAACCTCCAACCCCTAACCCCTAACCCCTAGCCTCTAACCTCCAACCCCTAACCCCTAACCCCAGCCTTTATCCTCCAACCCCTAACCCCTGGCCTCTAACCTTCAACCCCTAACCTGTAACCTCTAACCTGTACCCATTAACCCTAACTCTAGTCCTAACCCTAATCCTAACCTAATGCATTTCTCTTAAGTAGATCCAACGTATTCATCCCACCACTGTCAACACAAATCACATAAGAGAAAATATGACCAAATGATCATTCAGTGATAATGGTAAATGTGCCCCCATATGTGTATTATAAAAATATAAAGGTTTAAGGCATCTACCTTTCATGGACAACACTGAAAAAGAACTTTAAGCAAACCATTATATTTGTAAATAGTCTCATTCTATAATAAAACTTTTCTTGAACTTTTATGTCAAATTTTAGTAAAATTATCTTTTTCCTTCCTGTTATGAAGAGAAAATAAAACCATCAGAATTGAGATTTGTTTGTCACACAGAATCTGGCTTTTTTTTTGTAGAGAGGAAAAATAGTTTTTTTCCACTACTCTTGCCTGTAGTTCTCTTTCCCTTTGCTAATGTTACTATATCCTAGAGCAGAGGGTGGGGCACATGACTGTAATCCCTGCACTTGGGAGGCTGAGGCAGGAGGACAGCCACGAGTTCAGGGTCAGCCTGGACTTCAGAGTGAGTGCTAGGCTGGCCTGAAATACACAGGAAGTTCCTGTCTCAACAAATAAAAAATGAACTGTGTCCCAAAAGGAGAACCCCTGACCTTATCAACTTTATTCTAAAGTATTAGGTTAGAACTGTAAAACAGAGCTGGCGGTTTAGCTCAGTGGCACAAGTGCCTGCTTGGCAAGCGTGAGGGTTGTGAGTTTGATCCTCGGTACCAAAAACAAACAAACAAACAACTATAAGACAGTTATCTCTTAGATAACTGTATTTCCAGGCGTTTTCACTGAAATTTTCTAAAGAGATGTTCTCAACCCTGTATAAACAAAACACAACCTAGACCTGGTGATTCTCTTCAGACGCGTGATATCTTAGATAGACAGACATCCACTGTTGGACACCTTATGTCTGTCCTCTAGTTTCAGTTTCTAGCTCTCTGGAGCATCCTGGAGTTAGAACAACATCTTTGAGTCAATTCTTAGAGGTGAACTACAGGTATCTTACGGTGAATACTTAACTCAATTTTGCACTTAGTGGGCCCGATCCAAATGTGTTACTGCAGTTGGGGTCTCCTTAAATAACAGTTGTAGACACCTAATTTTAAGACTAACGGCTTTCAAATGTGTTATTGCTCTTCCAGTCACGCTTAAATTGAAACCTGAAACCTGGTGAAGATAAATTAATCATTGCCAGCACTGACTCGGAGCCCCAGCTGAAGACCAAAGCTTGGCCTGGGGCGCAGGGCCCGAATGAAAGGCTGCATTCTGTCTCCCAGCCGAGTCCGCTGTACCCTCCGCTGTCACTTAACAGACAACAATGACCAAGAGGAAGGGAGCTGTCAGCGCAGTCTCACGAGGAAACACCCGGTGTAGTCGCCCCCCGTTGTTTTTGGTCTGTTTGAGCTGACCTGTGACCCTTCTCCTCCCAAGGGTGTCCTGTTCAGTTTCAAACTGCTGGCCTTCGGACCCTTTCTTCTCTTTCTTCCAGAATAATTAAAAATATTACCCTAAAAGGTAGAACATTAGTAGGCTTGAAGATACAAAGCAGACTGTCTTTAGGCCTTTGGGAGTCTATTTCAATTCAGTAGAGGACAGAGCCTTTAAAATAAGGGAACAGTGACTGGGGTTCACTGTCATTCAGATGAACAGCTGAATTCAGGAGGTGCACAAAAATCCATGTGTTTGTAACTTCAGCCAATAATGAGACTCTATTGAATGTTATCACGGATGTTATGAGTCCAAAAAAATGAAGGCATAATTTTAAACTGAACAGGAGAGCTTATGGCCCCACCGGGAAAGTAAGATAAATACTGGGATGAGTGAACAGAGTGGCTTTCTATATTGCACACAGAAAAAATGCCATGGGGTCCACCTAGACATTCGGGGAACGCAGTAATCCACAGATGTCTCTCTGGCAGCGAGCAGGAGAGGCTGGGGCTGAGACACAGGGGTTCTGTGCTGAAGCCAGGGACAAGAGGCGCTTGGGGTTTGGGCCTGGAATAGGGAGGAGACGCCCGAGCCGCATCGCATGGGAAGGAGGGTGGCGTGCGCGGGGGCTGCCCAAGAGGAAGCCGACAGCTACCGGAACGGTGGGAGGGGTTGGGGTTTGATGAGAAGAGGGAGGGCAGGGCAGAGTCTTGATTTAAGCAGACTCAGATTTAACTTGGGACTGATTCAATAAGCATGATGTATTGGGCAACGGCCATCCACACCCCCGAAAAAGGCAAATAAATCACAAAATCAGTGTGTGAGCAAGAGTTTTGCTGGGAAGCACTCTACGAGGTCGCTTAGCGAAGGTGTCACAGCATCAAATTCGGTCATTCGGGCAGGAGAAAATAGAGTGGGCAGAGGGGGAGCAGCGGCCAGGAGGTCAGAAGATCCATGCCGCCAGGCACCTGGCCAAGGGAGAGGCCAGGACCAAGGGGCCGAGAACTCTCCTAACGTCCAGGAGACCTGCTGCGCTGTGAGCAGAAACCCAAGTGAAACAGGAGTTTAACAGCAGACGCGGTGACAATGGGGCAGACAGGCCACAGTGACCTCTGGGTGTGTGATTGAGAAACTCGGGTGGAGAGAGAGAGATTTGGGTCGAACCCACATAAAGACTGAGGTGCAAGGCCGGTAGGGAAAGCCAGCTGCAAACGAGGCAGCGCCTGGCAGAGGCAGAGCGGAGACCAGCTCAGCGCCTGGTCCCAGGGGCCGGGAAGAGGAAGTAAAGGAAGCGCTCTCGTGGGAGCGGCGACCCCACCTGCATGGAAGCCGAGCAGTGGTCAGTCCCCGGGTGTCCGGCTGGGCCTCGCCTCTGTCAGACCACGCCTTGGTGTCTTGACTTGGACACATGACAGGCCTGGTGCCGGCTGGCCTGTGTCAAACCTGTGAGAGCTGAGCAAATCAGCTGGACTCTGCACAGCGCTTTCCCGCCCTGGGGAAGAAGCGCAGAACCTGTGCAGGCGTAGTGGGAGGCGGTGCACAGAGTCGTGGCAGGCGTCCCACAGAATCGCTGTGGAGATCCACGTCGTGGCTGGAGTCCTCACCTGCCTCTGAGAATCCTTGTCCTTTGTCTCTGAAGTCCAGGCAGCGTCCCAGCATCTTCCAGCTTGGACTCTCCCGCTTCCAGGTTACTGTGCCTCTGCAGGGAAACCCCGCCTGCTCAGAGAAGTGTCGTCCCCCTCAGGAGCAACAGAGGCCCAAACACACCTGGCTCTGTTGGGCGTCCAGTCTCGTCCCTCCGTCCCTCTGTCCCCAGCGCAGGGCTGCTTTTCCATCTACAGACTCCCCCTCTCGGCTTGGTCAGCCTGGGGACCAGCGAAGGTACTCTGCACAGGACACTCTTCGTAGAGGACACTGGTAGCCGCCCAGTAGCTGTGTCCCTGTCCCATTTTGCAGCCACCACGCAGGCAACGCCGCTGACCACCCTGGCTCCAGCTGTCCATGGGCTTTAGGGACACCGTGCTGGGGCGACGCAGCTGTGGCCCTCTGGCACAGGACCTTCCACACCGGGAGTGGCACCCCTGTGAGGCCGCCTTGCTGGTCTAGGTCCTCTGCGCTTCTGGACACACTTCCCATCCTGCTCACAAGTTTCCCAGAGAAAGCAAACCTGCAGAGATCTTTTAGTTAGGAGCAAATTCTAATAATACTGACTTTTCCTCAGACTATTTTTCTCTATTCCCATTTAAGTCTTTAAAAATTTTTCTTAAAGATATGTTGTGGTTTTCGTATAGACATATTACACATCTTTGTTACATTTTCTTTTTTTTTTTTTCTTTGCATTTGTATTTTTACCAGTACCAGGGATTGAACTCACTATTACACACTTGCAAGGCAGGCGCTTATGCCGCTGAGCTAAATCCCCAGCCCCTTGTTATATTTTCTTGTTTAAAAATTTTCCTTTTCTGTTGGTTGCTCATGAGTGAATAGAAACATAGCTGATTTAAAAATATTCATCTTGTACCTGGCATGTCTGCTAAATTCTTTTAAATTTCCAAGCTTTGTATATCCATCTGGATTTTACTGTGTACAGAAAGGTGTTATCTTTGGAATAATTTTCAGTAGTCAGGCCCGTGGACCCAGTTTTGCTTTCTGCAGTTTTACTAACCAGTGGTGAGCCACAATACAAAAATAGTAAGTGGGAAGTTTCAGAAATAAACTGTTTGCAAGTCTTAAATTGCACACGGTGTGGGGAGGCCCTGTCTGCCTGGCAGGAGAATCACCCCCTCTTCCCCAGAACCCGTGCTGCCCGGGCCAGCTGCCATGCCACCTCTGGAACCTGTGGGTTCCAACTACAAAACCTCCTCTGGTAGATGGCGCCCTTGCCCATCTACCCTTTTCCGAGTGGCCCGTGTCCCGTTAGAAGGCCTGGGTCACTCACCTTTCTTGGTCTCACCGTGTAGGCACTGTACTATCTCAGTCCTGAGAAAGGTGAATACCAACCAAGGGAGGTTTTGAGAGGTAGACAGAGCGGTAGTATACTGCCATAACTGTTCTATTTTGGTTATTAATCTCCTACTGCATTTAATTATTTTTTTTGTCTTTTTCTTTTTTTATTGGTACTGGGGATCAAACTCACGACCACACACTTGCAAGGCAGGCGCTTATGCCGCTAAGCTAAATCCCCAGCCCCAACTGCATTTAATTTATAAATTTAACTTTATCGTGGGACTGTATAGGACAAAGCAAGATACCATCCAGGGTTTGGCACTGTCTGCAGGGATGGGTCATCCCAGTTGTCAACTTGACTGCTCTGGACATGCCCAAGGGATTAGTAAAGCACGCGGTGGGTGTGTCTGGGTGGGCCATGGGGGTGTGACCTTGGGGACTCTATCTGGCCCCTGGCCCCTTCCTCTCTGGCTCTTTCCCTCTCACTCTGGTGACTTGCCTCCACTATTCCACATTTGCACTGAATTCAGCTGACCATGGATTGAAAGTGCGGGAATCATGAGCTGATGTCAGCTAAGCTGTGCATCACAGGTATTCGGTCACGGTGGTGAGAAGCTGATCCAGACAGCAGTTGCAGCTCCACTGTGAATCTTGGAACCAGGGGTACTTAGCTTTCTGAGCTTTGACTGTCTCCTTTTCTTCCCTTGGTTGTCTGGCAACCAGCCCTCCTCTCTGTCTCTGCCCTTGGCTTTGTGCAGCAGCTCCACATACTCCTGTTCCAGTTGCCCCGGCATTTGTGATTCAGGATGTTGAAGGGTCTTCCTGAGGGCTGTGCTGTGGGCAGCCTGCTCCTCCTATCTCCACACTTCTGCACGAGCTCTTCCCTCTGCCTAGAAGGCCTGCTTCCCTATCCTCAGCTGAGCTTCTAGTCTGCCTGTAGGGACCACCTTGCATCACCTCTGTCTTAATTATTCTTCTCTCTTGTTGTTGAGACAAAATACTTGACACCCAAAATTAGGGAAGGGAAGGTTAATTTCTTATAGGTTGGAGGTTTCAGTCCATACTCAATTGGCTCCAAGGCAAAATGACACAGCTGAGGGGCAGCTGTTCATGGCAGCCACAAACAGCAAGCATGAACTGCCAAGAAAAGAGAGAGACACGTCTTCTTCCCCTCCATAACACTGTATGCTGGCTCCACGCCTGGTGGGGCAGTACTCATAGCACCAATCCCAGTGCCAGACAATGAACCAATCACAAATGCCAGGCTCAGCTGCGTCCATGATTACATTTGGCTCGGGGGCCATCTGAATGCAAACCATAACAGCCTCCTGTGAGGCTGGGCCTCACAGGCCCCCACTAGTCCTCCAGGCCTTGGGGAGATGCTTTCCCCTTTCCTCCTTCTACCACAGTAGTTATGCAACATGGTGGTAAACTGGCATGGCCCAGGAAAACACTGCATGGCATTTGAAAGGGATCCAGAGATAGGTGAATTGGTTCTAAAGGAAACCTAGAAAAAAAAGCCACAGGGAAGAAGTGTCTGTTTAATGTGGCTCATTTTGAATGTGATTCAGTCTTAGCATTCCTTGGACTCATCCTTAGCCACAATCCCAACGCTTGCCCTGTGGGTTCCAACCACAAAGCCTCCTCTGGTAGATGGCGCCCCTGCCCTGGTGCCCCATGGCACTGGGTTCAACCTGCCTCCCTCACTGTCCCCTTGAAAACAATCTTTCTCTACAGTGAGAATCTCCTGAGGTCTGGGCTGTGTGTCCAGTGCCAGGGCGCAATGTCTGGCACAGGACATGAGTCGTGAACGCACGTGAAATCTGTGAGTAAAGTGCCTGTGCTGTGGCTGCCACCTGCACACAGCCTACTGTGGGTCATGGGTGATGCCCCAGGCAGTGGGCATAAATGTGAGTTTCCTGCAGTTACTGAACATCACTGAGGCCCCTTGATTACGTTCTGTGCATCAGGCAGACTCTGCCGGAGTCGTGTTGTGTCTTTTGGATTCCAGTCCCACGGCTGCACCCCAGAATGCGCTCCCCCAGCCAGCCCCGTTCTTCCAGTGCATGGCCAAGTTCTCCCCCACAGTGTCGGAAGGCCTCGAGGCAAGGGACAGTGTCTCCCCAGCTGGCCTCTGAAGGACCTCGGTGTGAATTCTCTATTCTGAGCTCTACCTCAGAATGAATGAGGGGCGAGCATCGGAATTCACAGGCCCACGAGTCACAGTCCGATGGGACTCTCCTTGGGGCAGGGTGACACTGATATACAGCTGTGCCAGCCTAACTGAGTGCCACCCACGGGCTCTGCTCAGAGGCTGAACACCAGAAATCCAGCCTGATTCTGAGCTCCCATGTCCTCGGCTGGGTGTAGGAGACTGGCTGTGGGGTGCTCTTCTGACCCAGCCTACTCAGTAGCCAAGGCTGTCCTGGGCCTTCCTGTGCTGCAGTGAACAAGACCACATGTGGAAGGCGAGCTGCTGTTCCAGGCACCTCCCCGTCTCACAGAGGTGAGAGTCCACACACCGGGCGGTATGCATGCCAGGTCGCCTTTGTGCCAGGCTGGGTAAGCGTTCTGACTGCATTGGCCCGTTCGGGGGCCGCCTGGTGGCCCCCTAACAGGTTGGGCATCATCGTCTCACAATCCTGCCACCCTGTTTGGCACTCAGCTGCCTGACTTCACTGGCATGGGGCCAGGCAAGAAGTGTGTGCTGAGTCAGGAGCTGTCTCAGATCTCACTGCCACTCAGCCCAGCCCCCGCTGGACCAAGGGAAGAAGCCGGATGGAAGGGCCCGGGAAGTCAGTGCACAGACCCCACCCGAGACTCCAGACCCACATCCTGGTCAGGCGGGCATGGTGGCTGCATGGTCATGGTCTCCCCGGGTGTGCCACAGCTTCAGCCTCACTGTCACTGCTTTCCAGCAGAACCGTATCTGCTCCCAGACTGCTTGGGAGTTTCACAAGCTATTTTCTTCTTCCAAAATAAAATTATAAAATCATAGACCAGCTCAGGGAGTTACATTCAATTTAAATTCAATAGCGAGGGGCTGGGGATTTAGCTCAGCGGCATAAGCGCCTGCCTTGCAAGCAGGCAGTCGTGAGTTCGATCCCTGGTACCGATAAAAACGAAAAAGATAAAAAAAATAAACAAATAAATAAATAAATAAATTCAATAGCGATAATTCCATACTTTCCATACTTCCTGAAGACAACATTTAAGAAAGGTATTGTGAGAGAAGCAAAGATCCATGTCCTGTGATGCCCACGTCCTGTGACGGGTCCCGCAGGTTCAGCGGTAAAGCACTTGCCTGGCATTTGCATGGTCCTGGGTTCTGTCCTCAGTGCTGTAAAAAACAGGTAAAATGTAATTAGTATAGAAAATGTAGGCCATTTAAATCAATAATGCTTTAGGTGAATGAATCAACAGAGACATTTATAAAGGAGAACTCACCTGACGAGCTCCTGCGAGTATGTAGGGAACACGGGGTAGCTGTCTGCCGCTGCAAAGAAAATGCACAGAAGGGCCCGCATCACTTGGAGATCACTTGTACGGCTCTGTACACACTCTTCCCAAAGCCTCAACAAAATGGTAATAAAAGAATAAGAACAAGGGGCTGGGGATTTAGCTCAGTGGCATAAGCACCTGCCTTGCAAGCAGGTGGTCATGAGTTCGATCCCCGGTACCGATAGAAAAAAGAAAGAAAAAAGTGAAAAAAAAAAAAAAAGAATAAGAACAAGGTGTAAAACTTCAAGGAGAGCAAAAGAAAGATGACAAGAAAAACTTTCAAGATAGAAAGCAGATGTCAGGTGCTAACTGTTGCAGCGGCTTAGGACCTGAAAACTGAGCTACATGATCAGGAGCCCAGCGAAAGCAACGGATTTGCACCTGAGAGGCCAAGGAGACCTCAGGACTGAAGGTGGCACTGAACCCCAAGACAGCACGGGAGGCGGAGTGCAGGCCCCAGGGCCTTTGCACTTACACCGTGGAACAGCAGGGTGTCCAGACAGGGAGGGGGACTGAGTCAGAGACACTTAGGATGGAGAGCACTGGGGAAAGGGATGTGTAAGGGACAGAAAGCAGAAGAAATCAAGTAAATCTGCTGGTTCCTGACCTCTTTCCTTGGCCAGCATGTTTCTCCCTGTCTGTGACTCTGTCTCTGCCCCTCCCCCTCCCCCTTACCTGCCCCTGCTCCTGTCTCTGTCTCTGTCTCTGTCTGTTTCTTTCTCTCCTCTGACTGAGAGATTGACTTAGCCCTGGCAAGATGGTCTGGTTTTCACTAATTCATAATGAAACAAAGCTGTCCAGAGGCCGGCCCATCATGAGAAGCCATCATGTCCAGGCTATGAATGACAAAAGTCCTCAGACACTGGAGCAAAGTAATGCTCATGAAATCCAGCAACTCAAAACAAATAAGGAATGAAACAGGAAACAGAAATACATTTTTCTAAAACCCTCCCTGAATATGCAACAAAAATTAAGAGAAATTGTAAAGCTAAATGATACACTCAGTTTGGAGACCAGGAGAAGATAGATTTCAAAAATCAGAGGATCTGATCAGTAGCTCTAACATCCAAAGGGCAGGAGACTTAGAAGAGCAACAGGGAATGTTGATGGGGGAAGAAATCCTACTGAGGTATTTCCTGGAACCAAAGAGGAAGAGTTGAGATTTTAATTGTCAGATGCTCAATAAGATGTAAGCAGGAAAACCAACACAGAGATTGAGAAACATCAAGGAACTTTAGGTCACTGGAAATCAAGGGACAATTTTTAAATGTCCAGAAGGAAAGAATAAATCACACGCGAGGAGCTGGGCGTCTGAGGACTGTCAAACCTCTCAAAAGCAGCCTTAGGAACTACAGGCAACAGTGTTTTCAGATCTCTGAAAAAACCATTATGTCCAAACTAAAATTTATCCAAACCACAAGCACAGGAGAATAGAATGAATGCATTTTTAGGCATGCAAAGTAGTAACGACTTAGCTGGTGGCTGCTTGGACATCCCTGGAGATGGAGCCCAACACACGCAGGGCAAATGGACCAGGAGAAGCTGGGGCAGATGAAAGGGCCAACCAGCTTCATTGGGGGACAAATGCCAACTTGCAGCAAAGAAGGGGGACCACTTGCCATGGTAATGGGGTGGGAATGGACAGACAAAGTGTGGGTCCAATACCAGGAGCTGTTTCATGGTGTGGTTAGAAAGTTCGGGGATGAACCGAGGGTAGATATACAAAATCCAAGGGAATGAGAGCAAGCCATTGGTGAGGAAAAGAGCAATCACCCCTCATGGCCTGAGCGGGACAACTCTTCAAAGTCAGTTTTGATGTAGCCACTGTGTAACCCCTGGGACATAAGCCCAAGTCCAGTGGACCCACCTTTTACTCTTCTACTGTAGATTTATACTTTAACATTATCATAACTGGCCATACATCTTGATACCTTTCTCTGAGGGACACAGGAAACAATCTATGTGTTTACCCACTTGGTATGACTATGGTGTGTACATATGTGAAAAACTGTCAAAGTGAGATTTAGATCCACCTCTCTGCTCCTGCTAACTAGTTTTGCATATATTTATCCAAGCGTCACAGAGGGTCCAATATACCCATATCACTCCAGGGTTTGTTTGTTTGTTTTTTTAAAGTTTTATTTTGATTTTTCTAGTAGAAGTAGCCCATTTCAGTAAAATGAAATGAACATGAAAAACCACATTTGCCAGTTTTGGAGGAGGTCAAAAGTGAATCAGGTTACTCATGTGTGGATGATGAAGATGATCTATTATGGCAAAATACATGCCTTCATAACAGAAGAATGGTGTAGGTGTATGATGATGCTGACTTTGACATTGGCCATGTAAGCCAAAGTTCCTGTGACTGTGGAATAGACTGAGAATCACCTGACACAGATACACAGGGAATCCAGACCTCCAGATCCAGATGATGAAGAAAACAGCACTGTGAGTACATCTTTGACTAGTTGAAATGTTTCAAAATGGTCATGCAACCAAATGGAATGATGCAATGTTAGAACTAGGTCCAAAAATAGAGTGAAGGTTTTGGGAGGGGTGAAATATTATTGAACTGAATGCCAGCACTGCTGTTTAATGTCAGAAATGGTAACAGGTGAAATGCTACAGGATGTTATAAAATACACAAAGACTGAAATACAAGTAAAACATTCTGTATGCCCCAATAGCCACAATAAAAATGTATTTATGATGACACCTTATTAGAAGAACTAGAAGCACTCATAGGTCTGGTGTACTTAGCAGGGATTTCTCATAGTAGTTGCAGGAATGTGACAGACTTATGGAAAAGTGATGGTTCAAAATATGGCATAAAACTTTATGCTCTGGTACATGAAAGCCTTATCTTTCTTTTAATTTAGGCATTTATCTTGCAACTCAGCCATCAAGCTTTTATTTGTATGGTAATGAACCTAATGATGTGAACAGACTTGCTGCTTCCATCTTCCAAACTAACTGGAATGTGACAGTAGACAATTGAGTTTCCTGTTTCCAATTATGTTACATTTGCTAACAGAGCACAACTTGACCAGTGTAGGACTGTGCTCAGGAACAAAGCAGAATTCCAAAAGAAATGTTCCAATTTCAAAACAGTGAGTAGTATAGCAAAATCTTGGAATTTCAGAAACATATGACATTGGTCTTGTATATAGCATAAAAAACCAAACTGAAATTGCTGATGTCTGCATTCCACCATAATAGAAATCCTGACAGGGAAAACTTAACAAAACAGATGCCTGAGATGGAGACTTTCAACAACAAAACCGAATGTGGAGTGCATGTTGCTGAGTTATGCAGCAGCTGTGATGTCACTTGAAACACAAAGCACTGGCCAATGGCTGTGTTTCCTCAATCCTAAACATGTGTGGCATAAATTGTTTGATAGTTTCCCAAGAAAACAGCACGTGTAAAATATCACAGAGAGATTTTCTTAGAGGACTGGGACTGCAGCTCCTAAGAGCTCATTCACAGCAGAGGAAAAACAAGATGTTTCTGCTCAGGGATCCACACAAAAGGCTGTGGAGCACATGGGAGAGCTGACCAGTGGACAGGCAGGTGCAGCACCACAGGGACCTATGACGACAACAGGAGAACAGAAAAGATATCAACTGTGCCCTGGAAGAAAGGACAGGAAGATGTATGTGCTCCAGTGCGATGCTTGGGTATGGACATGCACTCGCCATGTGAGAGGACGGCCTGGGGTGTGACATTTAGAGCAAGGCTTATTTCTGTGGTAGACCTTTGCGTTTACAGTTCACATGGGTTTTTATTTCTGATGTCATCTTTAGGTTTTGTCAGCAAGTACACAGCTGAGGTGAAAATGTTGATATCTATTCTACATGCACGACACACATTAATAATATTTGGGTGATATTTTATGCTTCTGTTAACTACACACTGTAATATAATGAGAACAGCAGGACCACTGAGATGTCAGGTACGTCCTACAAAAAGTCCAGGAAAGCAAAAGACACGCGCTGTCAGCGTAAGCGATATGGGTGTGTGGACCGGGCTGTTGTCGTGTGTGCAGATGCCTTAGGGGCAATAATTAAAGGAAAGATTCTTTTGGTAGAGTGCTATTAGTATTTTCAGGTAGTTAGTATGGAAATTTATTTCTGATGTTCTTTTTTAGACTTTGTACACCAAAAACCAGCCAATGTTGAAAATTTCTATGCTTTTTTTAATGAACACTCAATGAATATTAAAAATGCAATACTTCACTTTTTGTGATATTTTTCCTGTCAAGTGCTGATTGTTTAATAGAACCCTGAAGTTAAAATTAATAATTCATCAGTAGAAATAAAGAATAAACATAGCCTAGACCCCTGTTTACGCATCTTGATGACAGAATTAGCCTCATGCTCTCAGGGCAGTGAGGTCAAGGAGGGGGAATGTGGTGGCAGTGGCGGCAGAGAGGGATATCTTTGTGCTTCATAGGACACAGCTTCTGGACAATGCTAACTTGGAAACCTCAGAAACATGAGGAGCATAACCTTGGAGAGGTGGAAAATGGCCCAAGAAACTGCTGAACGGTGCTGTATCCAGGGGCAGGTGTGGGCTCCCGGGTCCGCTCCACTGCCCTGACTCCTGTGGTTTGCCTTTGATGCTAAACACTGCTGTTGCTTTGACAGAAACAGATACTTAACGTTCTTAGGTAAGACTAGCAACTTGGAGCCTTTGCTAAGGGGTTACTGGGTTGCCTGGTGTCTGAAATACAACTAAGAGACAGAGTTTTTTAACTCCAGCAAGCAGATCTTTATCCCAAAGGACATGTCCCAGTCAAACTTAGAACCTCAGTATTTTGGGGTGCTGCAAGGAATGGGATGTCTCTCACAACACTGAAATGTTGTTACTAACACTCACGTGCTTTAACAGTGGGCAAAAACCACTGGACTTGGTTTGTATCAGATCCAAAAGTTCCATGGAGGAGAAGCAACTGAACTTAGCCTGACTGGACAGGCCAAGCTGATGGACTGAGGGGGTCCTGGGAGGAGAATGGAAAAGAGAAAAGAGAAATCCAAGCAGAGAGGCACCAGAAGGGACAAGGGCCGCTGGTCGGCTAATGACAAGGTGTGCTGGCGGAGAAAGGCCAGGCTGGACAGGAAGAACCCGGTCCCTCTGTCACCTGTGGGAAGCCCCTCTGGGCTCTGCCAGCCATAGAGAGAACACGAGAGAGCTGGGGATGCTGGAGTTCAGCTGGCAGGACACCAAGAATCAGAAAACCACAAGATGACAAAGCAGAGAAACTCGTTTCCTGTGCTGTTTTCACAAGGACGATATCAGAAGAAATATGCTGGGACGGAATGTTCTAGAAGAAAACGCTGACTGCTTTGTTAATCAAAAGGAAAATGGGCCATGGCCGTATCAGATATTGAGGGTACCGCAGAGAGAGTCAGGAAATAACCACGACAGACGTGATTATCTGTCCCATGTCTCATGGGCACTGTGCTGTGATGGGTAGATGGGTTTCCCTGGGCACTGTCCTCTCATGGATAAGCCATGTGAAGATTCTGAGCGTAAGATCTTTTGATGGCCTTGCAAAAGAGGATCCCACAGTGATTTGTTGACAAAAAGTTACAGTAGAGAGGTCTTCGTACCATTTCAACATTGAAAATGCATACTGAAAGTCTTAAGATACTCCCTTAGAGAACGTTTATTTGCTAGATCGTTTGTTTAGTAAACATGCTTAATGTATCCATGATAACTCCCAAATAACAAGCAGGCACTTCTTACGCGGTAATGATCTCTGGAAGAGTCTTTGAAGCACTATTTGGTACACATATGGGTCTTCATTCAGCATTTGGGCTGCTTCCAAATTCACTGGATTTTCCATCACTGGATTAGAAAGCATTGCCTAAAAGAAAACACAGCCAACAGACAAGTGTTTAAAGAAAGCGTTGTCTTGTAGTAAAAAGACAAAGCAACTCTTGATGAGCATTTATTAAATGTCTACAATGTGTGGACCTAGAGAGACGAGAGATGACACACGCTCTCCTCTCAGGACATGCTTGATCCGTCTTGGTTTTATACCATGTAGTCCTAATGAAATACTTGGATCAAAACAAGTGAAAAGTTTTTCCCTTATCATTCCTCCCTATCACAGCAATTTAAACTGGATTATATGTAAAAACAACTAAATGTTAGGGAACAGAGAGACATCCCCACTATACAGGTTAAGAAATAAAGCGTTTTTACTGGACAGCGCCTCAGATCCTGGATAAACAAAGACGGACTGAGGCCGCTGGAGGCTCCACGTGTGCAATGGTTTTCTGTTGCTGTGGTAACCGATGGCCACACTCAGCAGCTTAACAACATGTCGTCTCACAGCTGGGCAGGCAGCAGACCTCTGACAGTGGGACGAGTTTCTTTTCCAGCTTTAACAAGGCTGAAATCCTGTTCTCATCAGGAGTCGTGGGGAAGACACAGTACTGGGCGGCTGCTCGGGTTCAGCTGCTTGTGGCTGCAAGGCTGAGGACCTGGTCTCTTCTCTGGCTTGTCGCTAGGGTCCTCCTGACCTGAGGCCCACCTCCAGGCTTTCACCCACACCCAAAGGACTTCAGAGCCTCCTCTGCTGGCTGCTCTGGCATCTCCTTCCACCACTCCCCTCTCCTCCCACGCCGTGGCTCCTGATCACTGCAGGCCACCTGCACGGTGCAGACGACCTTCCTGCCTCAAGGTCGGCTGATCAGGGACCAGAATTCCATCTGCTGGTCTTTCACAGTGGCACCTGGATCAGTATTCAGATGAACACAGAGGACAGGGTTTGGGGGACTCTTTAATGTTTCCCCTATATGTGGCATCTAAAAAGATGACAAGAGGCAGGAGATGAGGGAGGGAGGGGGGAAAGGGGCAACTAAGTGATAAATGTGAGCAAACTGTATTACAATACTGCACCCCCAAAATGTGAAACTGGGGGGAAGGTGGGACATGGAGGAGGGGGTGAAATGACCGCTGTACCTCGTGTGCACAGATGAACCTGACAAGGCAAGAGCCATTGTCTTTCTAACGAATGAGGAAGTATGGAAACGAATCACCTCTCGCAGGATCTGTGATCCTGGACCAAGCAGGGACTGCTGATGAGCAAAAATAATTCTGCGAGACGGTGATTTACAGGGAGGGGTTCCATGGGTCATGAGCTTAATTTGCCCCGAGATTCTGAGGCAGATGGCCGTGGTCATGTTTGTGAACAGAAGCAAAATTTTGCCAAATGCTTCTGTTTGTGAACCGAATTGTTTGCAAACAGAAGTGTTTGTGAGCTGAGGTATTACTTGTATCTGGCACCTCAAAATTATTTTACCCCAGTATTTTGAACATTAGAGGTTATAACATAAAACTATGTAATATCATTAAAACTACTCCTGTATGTATTCCTACTGTGATACCTCAGAGTAGGTGCAGGGAAAATTGTGGCATAAAGGCTACGGAAGTTACGTAGCTAATGAAAGCAATCATCCGACATCTGATGTTTCAAAAGCAACCAGTGTTTTCTGCTGTTACATGTTTTCCTGTTTGGAAAACACATTTGGACCATATTTCCCCAAATATTGTAATTGTTTAAATTAAGGTTCAGTGCAGGTTTGCACTAAGCCTTTACAAGCGGGTGAGGAGCGGATGAAACTTAGCTTCAAGAGCGAGTGTGTTCCTGGCTGGAGAGGCAGCCGGCTGGAGAGACATCCAGTGAGGAGCATGTAACCATCTTCTCATGAGCCGTGCGCCTAAGACCAAGTTGGATGGTGTATGCACTGTCTGTGGATTTGAGAACTTATGAACTGGTACACAGGTCTGTATTAAATGCTTAAGTTAGATGCCCCATTAAAATTATAAAAATGAAAAGGTCCAACTGTTAAGTCAGCCATCTGGTAGTATGAAATACCAAAAATCCAGAAGACAAAGGGAACGATCTGAAGCTTCAGTTAACAACTACACCAGAAGATACATTTTGTGATTTCTAATTAATTATGGCCCATACAGTTGGGATTCCTTCTGCAGACTGGTGTTGATGTTTACATTTGCTTTCTAGGTGAAATACAGGTTTCCAAAGAGATTACTGACACATTTTGGTGGAGATGGTTAAAATATTTTAAACAGTTTCTCAAGTACCATCTGCTTGAGAAACAATATGACAGCCAGAAATGTGTCTTACTGATTGTTCAAAAGGCAGCAGTGGGGAATTGTGCTCTCTACCTGCGGGGTCCATCCCACAGGACACCAGCCACAGGGGGCGATGTCAACTGCTTAAACAAAGTGGACAGCTCAGCCCCTTGGTAATCCTAGCCCATGTCCAGGCTCAGTGACCACGTGAGATTGACTAGCGGCTACTACATGGACAGTATGACAGTGGACAATGGCCGTGTCTGTTAGTACAGAACATTCTATGGGGCAGATGTGAGCCCCAGAGAATTACTAAGTAACCATTGAGACAGTGATGGCAGCCAAGTGGAAATGATTGGAGATAAAATGTTAAGGTATATATATTATATACAAATTCCACTGAGTATATATAAAATATATATTAAGATAATATATGACCATAGTAGACATAGATATATTAAATTCTCTCTCTCTCTCTCTCTCTCTCTCTCTATATATATATATATATATATATATATATATATATATATATCCTCTAGAGCTGTAAACCCAAACTCAAACTCAAAGCCAAGTCTGGACAGTTAAGTAACGCTCAGTCCACTTCTCCCTCAGATGCCCACCTATTTCACATAGTTTGCACATATCGATAGATAGAAGGATGATGGTAGATGGATGGATAGGTACAGATATATGCACTAAAACTGCAATAAAGTAAAAATCCATCGTTTCTTTAATCTAGCACCTGCTGATGCCACTTGGGTAGGTTCTGGGGGCTCAGAGATGAACTGGATCTGTTTCCTCGGGCGGTGCCTGGCAGGAGACGGTGGTTAAGGGAGTGGATTCATACTCAGGAGTCTGCGCTGGGTTAAAGCACGCGCTGCGTGGAGACAGAGCCGGACTGCGAGGCAGGAACTGGAGCCTCTCGAGCCCAGATGGGAGATGCTGACTGTGGGCCTGCGACAGAACTTGGACTCGATCCTGCAGCTCACGAGGGAACCAGCAACCAATTTGAAACAGAAATCCAGGGCAAGACCATAGGGAAGAGCTAATCATGGCAGGGATGGGGTTTTCTTTAAGGGCTGCCAGGGATTTTCTTTTCCGTTACTGTGAAAACCATCTGGGAGTCGGCATGCTTGTCTCATTCACACCCCCAAAGTATGCAGAAAAACACAAACTGTGCATGTCACCTCCTGGCTTTCCGTGATGCCTGATGATGCTTCTTGGTCGCTATGAATACTGTGTCAATGGCAAAAACAACCGAAGCCAATCAGAACTCCTGTGAGTTCTTTCCTTGCAGTGGGCGTTGATTAAGGACTTCATGTGCACTGATTAATGTCATTCTCACTCGACACACAGACGACTGTTAATAATGCCCTCATCTTGTTGCTAAAGGAGGGAGGCACTGAGCAGAAATGTGTCCAACAACACAGAAGAGTGCCTGCCTGGCAAGCACAAGGTCCTGAGTTTGACTTCCACTACCAAAAAAACAAAAAACAAACAAACAAACAAAAAAGTCAAGCGGAAGAAACTGAAGTCAAACAATCTACTGTAAAAACTACTGCATTTTGCTTTTATTATATTATTCTATAATTCAAAATAGTCACCAGGTCATTCTCTCATTGTTTTTGGGACATTCAGTGTTACTGTTTTAGGGCAGATTCTAGTTCAGGAGGAATAGGTAGGAGCATTTCCCAGCTTGAAAGGGTGCAAAAGACCCATTCCAGATGCCCAAATATCAAACTCACTTCTCCAGAGAATTGCTCAGAGCTGTCCTGGAATATAGATAGCGGCTCCACACTTCTTAGCAGGATGAATGAGTGAAGGGGGAATTGGACTCTGAACCTATTTAAAAGATTCCATTCTATTCAGTATCCTAAGATGACTGGTCATAAGATTAACTACTATTTCACTTACTTTCAAAAATAAGATACAGGAAAAGTGGAATTTGTATTGTAATTCTAAGTTGTAAAAATTCATGCAAGTTAAAATACTTTATTCTGGCAATATTCAAGACCATCAAAATTTAATAATGCATCTCCAGGCATTATCAAGAGTCAGTAGGTCCCTGGATAGACTGTTAGAAAGCTTAATCTAAGTAGCCAAACAAATGCCACTGAAATAATCAATTTTCACCTCTGTTTAGAAAAGAGGGCTCTTAAAGAACAAAGAATAAGGGGCTGGGGATTTAGCTCAGCGGCATAAGCACTTGCCTTGCAAGCAGGTGGTCGTGAATTCAATCCCCAGTACTGATTTAAAAAAAAAAAAAAAGAGGAACCAAGAACAGAGACTAACACGAGACTGAAGGGTGCTTCTGTGGAGCATGGCCCTGGGTAAAGGTGGTATTTTGAAAACAGATGATCTCTCCAGTGCGAAGAGATGAGTCCTGGCTGACAGGAACACTGCACTTGTGAGGGCAGTAGCACTCTGGTGTGGTGCTGCATACCTATAATCCCAGCACTCGGGAACCTGAGGCAGGAGGATCCCCACCAGTTTGACACCATCCTGGGTTACCTAGTGAGTTCAAGGCCAGCCTGGAACACATAACAGGACCCGGTCTCACAAAACCCCAAACCAAACAAAACCGAAAGGAACAAGGAGCACTGACAGGGACCCAGGGGACAGCTGGACACGCAGAGGTGCGGTCACCAGTTCACCTGAGGAAGGACGAAGATAGTTGTGAAAGACACATGCGGATCAGGAGGGGAAGTCAGCAGCCGAGGGGAACCAGGACTGCATTTCCACACCGAGCAGTTACTGTCTTCAAAAACACGTGTAGTATTTGACCACGAAGGACCTTCAGTATCGGTTTCAGTTTGAATTAAGTCTTTATAATTTAGGTCCTAGTTTTAGTCTTGCTAGAGAAACGCTGACTGACCGATGCCTGCTCAGGCCCTGACAACATCAAATATGCGGACGTTCTAACCCTCGTGTGTGGAGCAGCTGGGTGATAAACAGCCGTAAGGAAAGCACTGCAGCCCTTCGGCTCTTACCTGCAGGGCCAGTAGGATGCTGCTCAGCGTGTACGTCGGGTCCCACTCATCAGAGTTGTTCAGAAAATCAATACAGGGCTCACCAGTGTCTGGGTCTACTGCGATGAAACAATACAGGCATGTATCATATTAACGGGCACAGAATAATACGGACATGTACCATATTAACGGACACAGAATATTACGGACATGTACCATATTAATGGACACAGAATATTACGGACATGTACCATATTAACGGACACAGAATATTACGGACTTGTACCATATTAACGGACACAGAAACATACGGACATGTATCATATTAATGGACACAGAATAATACGGACATGTACCATATTAACGGACATAGAATATTACGGAAATGTACCATATTAATGGACACAGAATGATACGGACATGTACCATATTAACGGACATAGAATATTACGGACATGTACCATATTAATGGACACAGAATGATACGGACATGTACCATATTAAAGGACACAGAATGATACGGACATGTACCATATTAACGGACACAGAATGATACGGACATGAACCATATTAAAGGACACAGAATAATACGGACATGTATAATATTAACGGACCCAGAATATTATGGACATGTACCATATAAACGGACACAGAATAATACGGACATGACCATATTAATGTACACAGAATAATACAGACATGTATCATATTAACGGACCCAGAATATTATAGACATGTACCATATTAACAGACACAGAATAATACGGACATGACCATATTAAATGTACACAGAGTAATACGGACATGTATCATATTAACAGACCCAGAATATTATGGACATGTACCATATTAATGGACACAGAATAATATGGACATGTACCATATTAATGTACACAGAATAATATGGACATGTACCATATTAACGGATACAGAATAATATGGACTTTTACCATATTAACGGACACAGAATAATACAAACATGTATAATATAAACAAATATAGAATAATACAGACATATATCATAAAATTACTATTGAAAACTTAGAAACATCAACATGACACACCAACAAAATTTGTCTCCACCTGTTTTTCCTTTCTCTATTTCTTTTCTCTAACATGAGAAGCACTGTGCTGCTCTGATTGCCCCCTCCCAAACCCACTGTTCTAGCTGATTCTGTAGGAGTCCAAACTGGTATCCCAGCCTGCCTTCTGGTGAGACGTGGTCATATGACTGAGTTTTCAGCATGGAGCAGAAGAAAGAGTGTGATTTCTAAATCTGGAGATGTTTTGCATTTTTGCCTCTCTATCTATCTGTGCTCCTTCCCACTGACTGGAAATTGGAACAAAATAAACACTTCGGACCCAGAAATGGAACCCACATTTGAAGATGAGACAGAACCTCCTTCCAGGCCTGGTCTATTATATTTCTGAGAAGGAGGTACAGAAGCTTGGCTTATAGCTTAACACAGCTAGTTAATTAATTCATTATCTTAAAATAGAGGAGAGAGTTAAATCTGAAAATAAAACTGTAGAATAACTAGAAGAAAATTCAAACTACTTGATGTTGTTTTTGGAAAAGCTCTTTAAGCTTAAAAGAATGGTGGAACCTATGAAGACAGGATTAATACTGAACACGCAAAACTTTAAATTCTAGATGTAAAAAACTCAGAATAAGCAAAATTTAAAACCAGTGGAAAACTGTACTATCCAGAACAATGTAGTTTTGTCAATCATGTCAGGGAATCACAAAACAAGTACAGTCAATCATTAAAAATGTTTACTTCATAAATATTCAAAGAAGTGCTCATTAAAATAGTAGCAAGATTTGTATAAAAGAGTCCAAAAATGTTTTCAAAGTTTATATGTGCAATATTGGGAGCCTCTCAAAGGAGAACTTTACAAATACTTTCTGGTGTGGAAGAGAATACGACTGACAGGCAATCTGGCTTCCTACATACGCTGACTCAAACTTTCCATGGCCACCTTTCAGAGCCCAGGAGCTAATAATTGGCCTTCCTGCCTCTGGCATTGATGAATCAGGGTGATACAGACCAACGCACTGAAAGACAGATGTTGAAACCTCCCTTCACTGTGCAGAAGACTGCAGGGGGGACGCACGTGGTCAGTGGCCAGGGTTGGGCCTCCCCAAAGCCTTCCTGATCTAAGCTCACCAAGCTGAAGGCCTGCCTCAGTTTCCCTGCTTGCATGAACAAAGACTTCAGCCTTCCCAAACGTGGGAGGGCTGGAGAGAACAGAGAAAGTTCTGGCCGCTGTGCTCAGTCCCCACCTGGTCCCCAGGTGGATGAGTCCCTTTTCCTGGGAAGAGGAGTCACAGCTCCCCCAGACTCCTCCTGTTCTGTGGAAATGCAGGGTCAGGGGCTGCAGGCAGAGAGCATCCCCTGGGAAGCTTAATCCCGAGATGCCTAAGTATTTTAAACAAAAATGGCAATGCACGATTTTGTGTTATGTGTTTCAACAGGCTTTAATTACACAGGTACCTGGGGGAAAAGTACCTAAGGGAAAATCAAGTAAAACACAAATGTTCTCTGTCTACTGACCGCGCACCGCAGCTCTCCCCAGCAGCCTGCATGGAGGCCCACATGCCCGTGTGCCCACATGCCCACATACCCGCTTGCCCGCGTGCACTTCACATCCTGTCACTTGTTTCTCACTGAACAGCAAATCATCTACTTATTTCCAGACACAAACATTTACCCAGAATATATCTGAGCATCTACAAGGCCCAGCACGGAAGACTAAGGAGACAGAAAAACCCAAAGGTCCAGCTTTGAAGATTTCCCTTGTTTTCCTTAGTGGTGATATGCACTAGGTAGGATATGTCGCTTGAGACTTGCTATGTGAATGGATACTGAGGGGACAGCAGGTCTTCCATATCCACGGGGTTTCCATCTGTGGATTCCACTAACTGTGAGTTGAAAATATTCAGAAAAAAATCCATCCGTTGTGAACACACATGGTTTTCCTGCTGTGAGCAATGGTGTGTCAATCATGCAGAGAGTGTCTGTGCTGTATTAGGCATCATGTGGGATCTGGAGAGGATTCAAAATGCATGTGAGGATGCGCAAGGGTTATACAGAAATGCTGGGCCATTTTATTTAGGAGACCTGGTCATCTTTGGATTTTGGTGTCCAGTGGCTGATCCCAGAACAACTTCCTCTCCAGCACCAAGAGACAGATGAATTTCTATTTCCATATTTCCCAGGTTGCTACTGGGAATTACCATCTCTGAGTCTAATGTATGTTTGTGCTAGTATGTCTAAAGACTACTTTATAAACAGAGATTCGTGGGTGGGTGCATTTTATATTTGAATAGCTGCCAAACTTTTCCCAAAAGGTTATTATGTCAGGAATAATGTCTCCCTGCTCTTTTAGCATTTTGCAAACATAAGCAATGAGTGACAATTTTTTTAAATTTACAACGCTTTCTATATTTTGTTGTTTCTTCTGTCCATTGTTGGCCCATCTCTCTATTTAAATTTTTCCTACTGGTTTACAAGAACCTTTATATGGTCTAGTCTGTTGTATCCATTATACATATTTTTCTTATATTTGCAAAAGTCAGGGTCTTTTACCTCTGTTTATAGTGTCCTTGGTTACAAAGGTTTCAAAAATTACCATGCTATAAATAATTCTACTAGATTGTCTTCTTTCTGTCATTTCACATTTTTTGATTTCTGGTGCTTCAGGAATTCACTTTATGTATATCTTAGCAGTCTAACTTATTTTTTTCTAAACGCTAATTTGTCCAGCATATCATTTTTTTTTTGGTATAAAAAGGTAGATCCAACTAAAGACACTGAGTCACACAAGAATGATTAAATGTATTATTAAACCATTTTAAGTATTCTGTGAAGCAATTCAACAATGTAGGAGATTCATGTAATTACAAACAAGTTAGTAGATGCAAAACTTTGTAATACTTCGACTATTTAGAAAAATCTATATACACAGGAAAGGAAAATGTATCTGGCAAAATGTTCAAATAGTATCTCTTGAAGACATTAGAATTCAAGGTGATTGTTAATTTTTTCTGACTTTTCACATTTTCCCCTATGAGCTTTCTTACCTTTGTAATCACAATAAAGTGGATAAAGAAACATGATTTTTAAACACTAATAAGGAATAAGGCAGTGGTGGCGAACCTGCGACATGCATGCTGTTGTGTTTTTCTTTTGCGACAAAGGACCTTAATGTAGAAGAGTTTTTTCTAAAGTAAAACCTCAGCACTCAGGGTGAACTGCGATGCTGGCACTTTGCAATAAGTAAGGAGGGTTTGTGTTGCAGTTTGGTGCTCGATCTCTAAAAAGTTTCGCCATCACTGGAATAGGAAATACAGAGACAGAGACCCTGGGGCAAAAATCCCACCTGTCCTTACCATTTGGATGAAAAGGAATTGTCACAAATCTCACAGCTGGTGGGACGAGGTTGTAGTCTGGTGTAAAATTTATCTCAACATCGAAAGCTAAACCTGTGAGAGAGAAACAAAGAGTCTCACTGCACTGTCACCCTGCACAGTTCCCTGGTACCTCTCCTCTGCACCCGTCTCCTCCCTGGGTCCCCTCCAAAGCCAGAGCTCCCCTTCCAGGAAGGTGGCTCCTTCCTTGCCAGCAGCTTTTGCTATGCAGTTTGCACCCCTGATTTCCTCCACCTCCTCCTCAGCTGGCCACACTTCCACGTTCTTCAGAGCTCCACTTTGGCACCGCTTCCCCCAAAAGCTGCTCCTGGCCACTTCGAGAGAACCTTTCCTTCCCTCTCCGCGATCTGCCCTGCAGCCAATGGCCCACCCACGTTTCAGGCAGCTGTGACCAGTACACACAGTCCTTGTAACTTACAGGCGCCTAGACTTCTTGAGAATTTGATTTACGGAAATTTCGGGGGAGATTGTAGAAAGAACAGTGAAAAATGACTGTGGAAGTGTTAAGCCAAAAGGAAGCCAGCTGGCATCCTCTGATCTCAAGGAAGATTATTGGAAGACATTCTTGGTTAATACACTTTATTTTGTTTGCTTCTTAAAAATGTAACAGCATCCTAATAACCCTTGCCCTGGGGTTTTGATCCCTAACACTGCAAACAGCAAAAAACCAAAAACAAAACAAAACACATTTTAAAAATTAACATTTGGTACGAAGGAAAACACTGGCCAAAAATTTCAATCTATGCTGACAAATGGCAAGAAGTCATATAGTGAAATGTAACGGGAATCCTTTTAGAATTCTGAGACTTGAAATCATGCAACCTTATGTAGAGAAAGCATTCTAGAAAAGTATATAATGCATTGTTGGGAGCCGCGTCTGTGATAGCTCGCCTTGCGCGGCGGACGTGCGGCCTGTGGTAAAGAGCAAAGCCTGAGGTAGATTACCCCTCCCATCGAATATGTTAGTTTCCTGCTTACCGCGTAAACAACCCGCTCAACAATATAGTCTGCCTGGCAACTGATGATGTTAGCCAATCAGCTTGCCTTGCTTACTTTAACATGATTGGACACTGTACCCGTATATATACCGGTGCCACCCCTGGGCGGAAGAAGAAGCCAGGTAGAAGCCCAGAAGTAAAAGCCCAAAAGGAGCCGCGGAGAGCGGACCGGTAGAGGCTTTGGGGCAGACTGAAGCACAAAAGGAGCCGCGGGGAGCGGACCAGAGGAGGCTTCAGCTGGGAGAACCCAGGGCAGGCTGTACGGAGAAGGAAAATAAAAAGAAAAGGTTGTCCACTACCAGACTTTGTCGTGTGTCCTTCCTGCCGGCCGGGAGCGGACATTGACATTTGGAGGCCCGCCCGGGGACTGATCACCCCCGAGACGTGGAAGTGGACAACGCTCCAGTACAGAGCTGCGAGACAGGTGAGTTGGGGATAAGCCTGGGCTCTGGGTGGCGCGCACCTACAGGGCTTTTAGACTCCCCTCAGGCTCACGCGTAAGTGGCGGATTCCTTGGGCCTCACGCGGTGAGTAACATATTAAAAGATGGGAAACATGTTAGGTAGCAACACTAAGAGCGAGGGTGGTTGTGGAGAAAGCTCTCAAGAGCTTACAAAAGTACGCAGGGTATCTGAGCAGGCCCAGTCAGGGAGCTCCCGAGAGGGGTCCGTCAAGGGGAACAAGGATGCTAAGGAGGAGGACGGGGCTCTAGCCTCGGAGTCGTCTGACTCCGAGGACGAGGGAAAGTTGAATGGCAAGGAAGCCAAAGAGACCAGCTGTCAGGAGCCTAAATCGCTCAATAAGGAGTCGCAGGGTTCTTTTCCAGCGTTGCCCCTCGAATTGCGCTCTGCTCAACCTGGTCTGCGGAGGAGTAGAGAGCTCCTGAGCGCTCCCCGGCGCGAGAGGGAGGCGAAGCCTTCCGCCCCACCTTGGGGGCCGTTTCCGGAGGCGATTCCTCGCCACGAGGCGGCCGCCTGGGAGCTCTCTCCCCTTTCGCCAGAACAGGAAGTGATACACGGGCCCCCATTTTCCGCCCAATCACGGCCGCTGTCTTATGCTCCGCCGCCGGCGGGTCGGTATTTTTACAGGCGGCTTTGGCAGGGGGGACGCTTGTCTCATGAGGTACATCCACCTGGGATAGATAGTGGCCCCTACGGGATATTTCCTGTACAAGTAGCTATGGGCCAGGGACGCAATGTATGGGAGCCTTTTGAGATAAAGCAGATTAGAGAACTTAAAAATGCAGTTACAACCTTTGGGCCGACTGCGCCTTACACCATTGCCATGCTGGAGAATCTGTCTTCTGGGCCCCTCACCCCCGCGGACTGGATTCAGCTGGCAAAGGCGTGTCTGCCCTCGGGCAGTTACCTGGATTGGCGAGCCTGGTACACAGAGTTCTCTGCAGAGCAGGCTGAGAAAAACGCCGGTCGAGGAAATGGGGCTGGGGATTTAGCTCAGCGGCATAAGCACCTGCCTTGCAAGCAAGCAATCGCCAGTTCGATCCCTGGTACCAATAAAAAAAAAAAAAAAAAAAACGAAAAAGATAAAAATAAAAAATAAAAAACAAAAAGGGGGAGTAAGCCAAGGCCTGCCTCCAAAGGCGCGGTTATCTATGACAGGACAATGGATGGGCCCGGATCCGGTAGTCAGCTGGAACCGAGGCGCGGTTTGTGTTTTCCCACAGGAACCGGGATGAGAACCACTGTGGATACCGGAGAGACTGACACGGGCAACAAAGCCCTCGACTGAAGATCAGACCTGCCCTACTGGAGATCCATCACAGACCAACCAATAAGATGAATAGAAATAGCGGTAGCCCGAAATGGACAAGAAGATCCTCAGGCATATGCATGGCTTGCTCAATTGGCCCACGACCGAGTCTAGATATGGCGGGCATCCCTCATTCTCCTCCATAAGGTGACAATACACAGCAGGGTAGGTGAGTCAATGACGGGTAAGAGCGTGCCTCCCCAGCACGACTCGACCTAAGCCAGGCCCTACCCCATCCTGCACATAAGCCGCTGGACTGTTAGATGCTGCCCAGGTCTAAATTTCTCTCCGAGGGGATTTCTTTACGGAGAGGAAATGAGTGCAAGCTTGTGTGCATCCAGGTTCCGTCCAGTTTGTGCCTGGCCCTAGAAAAAGGACGAGGGCCTCAGGGCCTTGGCAGACCATGGCATGGCCAACCAGGGTCTAAGCCAAGGACCTACGGTGGACCTACACATAGGGCATAAGCCTCTGCACCCAGTCCAGGAAGGGCTACGATGCGCACATTCATAAAAAATAAAATAGGGGGAGATGTTGGGAGCCGCGTCTGTGATAGCTCGCCTTGCGCGGCGGACGTGCGGCCTGTGGTAAAGAGCAAAGCCTGAGGTAGATTACCCCTCCCATCGAATATGTTAGTTTCCTGCTTACCGCGTAAACAACCCGCTCAACAATATAGTCTGCCTGGCAACTGATGATGTTAGCCAATCAGCTTGCCTTGCTTACTTTAACATGATTGGACACTGTACCCGTATATATACCGGTGCCACCCCTGGGCGGAAGAAGAAGCCAGGTAGAAGCCCAGAAGTAAAAGCCCAAAAGGAGCCGCGGAGAGCGGACCGGTAGAGGCTTTGGGGCAGACTGAAGCACAAAAGGAGCCGCGGGGAGCGGACCAGAGGAGGCTTCAGCTGGGAGAACCCAGGGCAGGCTGTACGGAGAAGGAAAATAAAAAGAAAAGGTTGTCCACTACCAGACTTTGTCGTGTGTCCTTCCTGCCGGCCGGGAGCGGACATCGACAATGCATATGATACATGTCAAGAAAACAGGCTATTAATAATACTACTACTTCAAAAATAGGTTGGTTTTGAATATACAAACCCTGCCAAATTGAATTCTGTAGACCTTCAATGTCAGCCTTCCATTTCATCATATCTTCACTCATAGGAAAGGCAGAAATACCCTTTAAATGAAAAGTAAAATTAGACAAAAAGATTATTTGTCTTGAAAAATCAGATAGCAGGTTACACTGAATTCCAAAACATAAATATTTTACCTTGTGTGTATGTATTCGCTGACCTAGAGAGGTTTGTATGTCTTATTGCATAGAAGTTAAGACTGAACCCATACACAATGATAAATTTAAAATGCTATGCTAGTTACTTTTCTCTCCTTGCTGAGACAAAATACCCAACACCCAAAGTTCAACAAGGAAAGGCTTATTTAGCTCACAGTTTGTGGAGGTTTCAGTCTGGCTCCAAGGCTGGGTGGCATGGAATAGGGACCACCATTCATGGCAGCAGAAGACAGCAAAAGCATCAAAAACAAAAATGGGGAGAGCAAGCCTCTTTTTCTGCCTTATACTGTAAGCAGGCTACCTGCCCTGAGGTGAGTGTAGCACTCACATCAGGACGTTTACAAAGTGAGGACCCTGACCCTCTGCTGAGTCACTTATACTCCCAAATTTCTCAAATTTACATAGTGAATCAACTATCACAATATCCTACAAGGTAAACAGCCTCCCTAGGGCAAGTCCTCTACACCCTAGGATGCAGAACTGCTGAGTTACTTTGTTAAGTTTCTAAACTTCTCAAGTGGACACAATGGATCAACCATAATAAATGTAGAACAAGTGGGACAAAAGGATCAAGACTGGGACTTATGGCTTATACAAAGCCTTTGTGACTCAGTGGCCAATTAGAAGGCGCATGTGTCTTCAAAGCTTTTAAAGACTAATTGGATGCTATATGAAAGGCATGAAGTAGGAATGTTTTCTTTTTCTTTCTGTCTTACTTTTCTTATTACTGAGACAAAACACTCAACACCCAAAGCTAAAGAGGAAAGGTTTATTTTTTACACAGTTTGTAGAGGTTTTAATTCATAGTAGCTGACTGGCAACCGAGACAGGGTGGCACGGCAAAGGGGCATTGCAGAGGAGAAACAGTGCACAGCAGGCAGAAAACAGCAACAGCAAGCCAGCAACAAACTACAAGTACCTAGCAGCAAGCCTCTTTGTGTCTCCTATATAGCATCCAGGTGGGCAGGGAGCACTCTCACCCTTATCCTAGCACCCCTATCCTAGCACTGCACCAGGAATCAATCGCACACCCTAGATCCAGCCACCTCTGAAAAAACCTTACCTATGACATCATGAGGGCTTGGGGGGACATCTAGACACAGTCATAACTTCCTTCCTTCCTTCCTTCCTTCCTTCCTTCCTTCCTTCCTTCCTTCTTTTCTTCCTTCCCTTTTCTTCTGAAGTACTAGAGATTAAACCCATGGTCTTCTCACTGAGCTATATCTTCAGCCCTTTTTTTTTTTATTTTGAGACAAGTTCTTGTTAAGCCACCAAGTTGCCCAGCCTGGCTCAAACCTATGCTCTTCCTGCCTCAGCCTCCCAGAATGCCATGATTCTACAAGTGCTCCACCATGTCCAGTTAGAGACATTCTCTTACTGAAACAAACCTAAAATTACAAGTGTATATAAAAATAAAATTTTCCTATTGAGGTACTGTTCCAGTGGAGAGACAAGAATTATTTCATTAATTATATTGAAATAATTCAATAAATGTTTCTGCCCAAACACTCCATTATGAAGAATAATTAAGTGATTGCCTGTTATGTATCTTCTCTCTCTTATCTACATTATCTGTATTTTATATGTCTCCTCATTGAATTTTCTTTCACCAGAGAAGTATGGAGCGCAGAATGCACAGAAACGTATGCAATGATAGGCCTACACCTCTGGGGTGTTTGCTGGATGACTTGATAATTGTTCCTCACATCTCCAGTAGGGTCTCTCCCAGCTTTCCATTTCCCCACTTCCATTACAGGGATGCAAACAGAGCCACATCACTGCACCTTGGCTGGCAGTGAGACGGTTGGTCATGCTGGGCACTTTCTGTCTGTGGAGGGCTTTCTTTCTGTTCTCTCTTCCTCTCTCTCTCTGTCTCTCTCATCTATTTTTTCACTTCTATAAATCAGAACGTACAAACACCACTAATTTCACTGGTGACATTAGGGGCATGTCTTGCTTACTTTCCTCTCATTGCTGGACAAAATACTCAACATCCAAAATTAAGGGAGGAAAGGATTAATCTAGCTTACAGTTTGTGGAGATTTCCGTCCATACTAGGCGGGCTCCAAGGCAGGGTAGCGAGGTTGAGGAGCAACAGTTCACTGCAGCAGCAACAGTGAAAAGGGCAAAGGGAAAAGCTCCGCCTTCCCTCCCGTATAGTGTGTGCCTGCACCCTGCACCTCCGCCAGTCAATTCCAGTGCTAGACAATGAACCAATCAAAAACTTTAGACTCAGCTGCTTTGAAAGGCCCACCCTCCATGACCATGTGAGGCTCTAGGGGCACATCTAGATCATAACAGGGAAAAGGGCATTACCTTCCTCCATGCTAAAATTAAATGCATAGGGCACCACAGCAGAACACAAAAATTAAGAGTAAAGGGTTTGGATTCAAAAGCTCTCCAGTGGAATCCTGGGCCCAATCTTTCTGAGCTTTAGGTTTCTGGCCGGTAAAGCTTCTTATTTATATCATACTTAATGAGCATAATCCTGCACCTACTACTCACTGTTGGATAGACCCCAATAATCCAGACTCAAACCGTTACTCAGCACAATGTACTCAATACTTTCACTCATTTTTGTTTCTAAGTGATAGTAATTGTTACATGAAATATATTTGTTTAATGATACGATCATGGCAAATTAGGCCTAATTAAATCACGATGTATAGAATAAACATGGACCATGTTTCTTAAAAACCGTGACCCAGTGTAACTCCTCCCGAGGACTCACCTCAAGGCCCTTCTCTCTCAGCTCTCTGAAGTCTCTGCGCACCAAGGCGTAGGCGCTCCTGTGCATGGTCCGGCAGCCAGGTCTATCCGCCCGGTTCTCAGATTCCTCGGGGTTACAGTGAGTCACTCATCTCAGGCTTGGGGTCCCCTCCCACACACCCAGTTAACTAGCAAAAGGGGCTTGTCTTCAGGAACTCCAGACAGCTCCCAGGATAAGCCGCTCCTAAGTCTGATATAGCACAGTGACTTCCTTTTCCTCTTGATCCTTCTATCCAAGGACTTCCGAAAGGGAAATTGAGCTCCTGCTCATCTGTGGTGCGTCCCGCGGGACAGGTGAACGAACCCCTTTCGGTCGCGCGTGAAAAGGGAGTGAGACATGCAAGTGTCAGGCCAGGCAAGCAAACTGTGCTTTTCGCTTCCCGAGGTCGCTGGCGCAGCTGTACAACGCCAAGCGGTTGCCAAGCAACAGGATTCCAGGAACTGTAGAAAGGGGGCGGGAGCATGTCCGTCTATCATCCAATCAGCGATGGGGGCGGGCCTCTGAGCTTCGCTGCAGCCAATTGGTTAAGAGCTTCACTTTGAAAGGCAAATAAGGCCCGCGGTCCAGGCCCTGCGTGGGTGACCCTCCTTGCTCCAGGTACCAAGCGCCTTCAGCCCCGTAGACGTCGCAGTCTCCCTGCAGCGCGTCCTGGAAAGACCCAAGCTTTGCTGCGTCCTTTCAGGCCTCCCCTTGACTCCCCTTCTTCACCCACCCTGCAGACTCTGCGTCTTTGTGAAGTCCCTCCTGGGATAGAATCAGACCCTCTGTGATCCCAGGGCCTCCCCCGGCTCCGGGTGAGCGTTTCTGTCTCCGCCTTTGTCTCCAAGTCCCGCCTTTGTCTCCAAGTCCTGAACTGCCCTGGGATATGCTTGGGCTCTGTGTTGTTCTCAGGGAAACGGAAACCAGTTGGTCCAATCAATGCATTCACTCCCTTCACGAGTATTCACCGAGCACCCCTTGTGCGTGCTTGTGGCTCCAACAGACGACAAACAAGGGCCGTGGGCCTCATGGGATCCGCAGATCAGATGCAACCAGCGGTGGACTGCGAACGCTCACACGGAAAACAGACATTATGTCCCTACTGTGTGGGCAGACTCTGCTGACTCTGCCGGGCGTGGTAACTCTCGGCACGGCATTTACGCTGTATCACACATTGTAAATACAGCGATGACTTCAGTACCTATAATTGTGCCATTTTAATGCACCCGCTCCGAGCTTCCACAATTTCTATATTAGGAGGCGATACAGGAAGTAACCTCACCCCACCTCCCGTGCTGCGGGGGTGGCTGTAGATGAACCCACAGATACACGAAAGAGAACCCATCCTTCCAGACCGTGCGGAGTCACACAGCATGATGCGCCGGGGTTAGACGCCGCCCCTGACGAAGCCTGGACTCATAGGGAAAAACGAAAAGGGCCTGGTGGGTAGAATACTGCAAGCGAAGAGAAGGGAGAAGGCGGCAGGACAGCTAGACAGGAAGGAGCTGGTCTGGCCAGGAAGAAGGGCGGCGGGGAAAGAAGGGATGGGTGGGCAGGGAAACGCAACGCGGGAGGTTCGGGCTTTGTGGGAGCAGCCGAGGGTCTGAGCTCCACAGTGTTAAGCTCCGAGGCCAGTGTTCTACCAAGCCACTCCGGAGAGACCAGATGGCAGGCCCACTGTGACTCTCACGTCGAGGCACTGCGACTTGCGGAGATTCCCAAGGCTATGCCGACTTTGCGAAACTTCGGCATGGTAAAATGCTCTGGCTCATCATAGAAACGAACCCTCTCTGCAGACCTTCCGCCATCGAAGAGCTCGCGGTGAGCAATGAGGTCTCTCAAGCTGCACCTGGTTCTGTACAGCCTCCCGGTATCTTCACAGCCTTGAAGAAGTCACCTCGCTTCTTAGGCTTCCACTTTGTCCCCCCTCCCCCCATGAGCCCATGGTAATACTGGCAGGCTCATTGTGAGGATAAGAATAACAATGCCTTCGAAGGATGGATGCAGTCTCTGCCCAGCACAGAGGAAAGATTCCATTTTCTAAGGGTTTGTCAAAATTATTTTCATCCTCAAAAGCAACTCCATGGCGGGATGTGGCAGTGCAGGTCTGTAATCCTAGAACTTGGGAGGCTGAGGCAGGATGACTGCTGCAAGTTCCAGGCCACCAGCCACCTCTCTCTCTCTCTCTCTCTCTCTCTCTCTCTCTCTCTCTCTCTCTCTCTCTCACACACACACACACACACACACTCACACAATGGAGCAGTTCCTCTTATGATTCTAACTTACAGATAAAGGAGAAGGGCACCAATTGACCCGATGGTTTGCCTAGGTTATGCAGCTGGAATCCGCAGAGGCTGGGTGCAAACCCACAATGCTCTGGGTATAAATTCCAAGAGGATTGATATCTGTTTCCTACAGATAAGAAGGAAAGAAGTCAAAGCATGTTTGTTGCGGTCGGTATGATCCCATACTCAGAAGATCCTAAGGACTCCACCAAAAGACCTGTGGAGCTAATGAATAAACTCAGCAACGTAGCAGGCAGCAAAATCAATGCTAGAAATCCGTAGCTTTCTCATATGCTAAAATGGAGCCGCTAAGGAAGAAAACAGGAAAACAGTTCCACTCACTGTAGGTTAAAAATCTAACCAATCTAACCAAGGAGGAAAAAGACTTCTGCAAAGAAAATTTTAGAATGCTGAAGAAAGAAGTTGAAACAGACCCTTGAAAGTGGAGAGACCTCTCATGTTCAGGAACTGGTAAAATCAGTATTACTAAAATATTAAACAATAAGGCTGGGTGTGGTGGTGCTTATAATCCTAGCACCCGGGAGGCTGAACCAGGAGGATGACCACGGGTTCAAGGACAGTCTATGGTACATAGTGAGTGCAGTGCAATACCCTGCCTCAAATAAACAAGACAAAACAAAACAAAACAAAATGCTGGCAATGCTCCCCAAAACAATCTATGGATTCAGTACAACCCCCATCAGAATAGCAATACCATCCTTCACAGGGCTGAAAAAAATAAAATCCTAAAATTTGTATGGGAACACAAAAGCCCCAGAATAGCCAAAATAATCCTAAGGGGAAACCAAGACAAAACAAAAACAAAAAACAAGACTAACAGCATCACAATACCCAACTTCAAATTACATGACAAAGTCATTCAACGGGAAGAAGATGGTACCACAGAGCTAGATCTGAAAGGTATCAAAGTGGGCCTGGTGTAGGGATATCTTGTACCAGTGTTTATGCTAACACAATCCAGAGGCTGAGCCTAGGGTCCATCAATGGTGAATCTGTGTCGTGGTTTGGATCTAGATGTCCCCCCAGGAGCCTCATGGGCTCAGAGGTAGGGTTTGTGGAGGGTGACTGAGTCATGGGGGCAATGTGGCTGACTTACTATGGGGGAATGGTGGAAATGGGGGGGGGGATCACTAGGGTGCAGCCTGGAAGGGTTTCTCTCCTTCCCCAGCTCCTCTTTCTCTCTCTGCTTTCTGTCCGCCATGATTTGAGCAACTTTCCTCGACCAGACCCTTTGCCTTGTTATTTCTGCCTTAGGGTCAGTGACTATGGATTTAATTTTCTAACCTTTGAGTCAAACCTTTTCTCCTTTAAATTGCAGATATCAGGTATTTTGTGTCAGTGAGGAAAAAGTAACTAAGATGAATGGATGAAGAAAACGTGGAAAAATTTGTCATTTGAAGAAAATGGATGCATCTGGTGACTTCCATTTCTCGCATTGGGAAACATAAGTCAGACTCAGAATGGTAAAAGCCATACATTCTCCATAATACGTGGAATTAAAAGGGATGACAGGAAAGAAGGGAGACTTATGATTGGACAAGAGGAAGGGGATAGGGTGTAAGGCTGTGTGATAGGCAGAAGGACATGAGCAAAGTTCATTATATGAACTGAATCCCCCAAAACCTGAAACTCAGGGGACAGTGGGGCAATGGTGGGTGATGGGCGAGAAATGATTAAAATTTGATATGAGCACATACAGATCTGCCAAAGAGTCACATGTAAAAATAAATTTAGAAAGTAGTATATACAATTTACTATCCACATTCATACACAAATAAAAAATAAAGAATACATGAATTTTAAACCACCAGAATAGGGGGTTTAACTCAGTGGCATTAAGCGCCTGCCTTGCAAGAGTCAGTCGTGAGTTCGATCCCTCGTACTGATAAAAACGAAAAAGACCAAAAAAAAAAACAAAACAAAACAAAACACCAGAATGTGCACCTGAGGTACCTATAGCCTGGAGTCTTTCAGATGACATATTTGTTAAGAACCATCTCTGATTTCCGTACCCTATGAATTTATAATATCCTGTGTGCTGCTCAAAAATACCAACTGGTAAATACTCTTTTTGTATTGACTCTTAGTACGTTTATGTGAGAGTAGACTTCATTAAATCCTGTCAATTTGAAACAGGAGAGGTTTATTTGGGCTCGTGTGTTCCCGAGGGTTCAGTCCATGGTTAGCTGACTCCAAGGCAGAAAGGCATGGCGGAAGGGGTCAGGCACAGGAGAACTGCTCACATCATGGTGAGCAGGAAAGAGCTTGGCAGGGAGGTGAACCCTTCCAGGTCACACTCCCGTGACTGCGTCTTCTGACAAGGCATTACCTCCCAACAGCCAGTCAGCGGCTGTGCTCCCATGATGCGATGGCCTTCCAAGCGCACCAGGCTGTGGAGGCCGTTTTATGTCTAAAACACAATCATAGCAGCACTTTTGGGAGTTTCTGCTCAAAATCATTCCTTCTAAAAGCAAGACTAGAGGATTGAAAAGACAGATGTTATGTTGTACTTTTCTGGTAAGTGGCATTCTAAATCCCCAGAATCTATAACCCTTGTACACTCCCAGGAGAGTGAATCCTAGGAGATGTGGCTTGTTCCTGTGATTAAGTTAAGTGATGCATTTGCCTTTGAGGCTTTCCAGGGTGAGCCTGGCCTAATCAGGTAGCCCATAAAGGGTACTGGGCTCCTCCGGATGTCGGTGAGGGAGCGATTCCAGGTGAAGGAAGTCCCTGCTGCTGCCTTTGAAAATGGAAGGGACCACATAGCAAAGACTGAGGGAGGCATCTAGGAGCTCAGCCCCTGGTGTACAGAAACAAGGAATCAGAGCCCGAGTCCCACACGCGCTAGGAACCGAGTCACCTCACCTTTATCCAGCAGAGAGAAAGGGGCTGTGCTGTTTGGAGATGGGACAGCGGGGCACAGGGTTAAGGCCCCTTATCTGAGATGCTCTGGACCGGAAATGTATCAGAGTTTGCATTTTTTTTGAGTTTGGAGTATTCACATAGACTATGCTGGTTGAGCACCCAGGACCCAAATTCTGAAATCCCAAAGGCTCCAAAACATGAAACTGTGTGAGCTTCCAGTTGGTTCTCAAGACTGTTCAGGTTTGGTCGCCTTTTGGATTTCAGGTTAGGGATGTTCGGGATGTATTTTGTAAGGTTGAATAGAGAACTAATTCAGCTTCTCATCCAGTGTGCACGCTACTGACCAGGAAAGGCTGTGTGCCAGGAGGTTGGCCCCTTAGCGAGCGGGTTTAGCCCACTCTAGCCCCACAAAAACTGGGAACCCGGTAATGACGGGGCTCTGACTTGGGACCCACTGGGATAATGTGGGTATGAAGTCTTTAAAATTAAAGACCAAACTAAGATTCACTTGCAAACTCTCATCATCCTGGTGAGCAGAGCGTGGACTGTGTAATTATTTCATGTTTGTGGTGCCCTGGCATTGTCTCCAAATTTAGCACCAGGCTCCCTCAGCCTCTTTTAAAAAGCATTGTCCCCTCGGGCCTTAGACAGATGTGTTCGCTTTACTTAAACTGAAGGACTGTTTTCCCCGTTCGCTGGGAATAGGCACCAGTATGAAGTGCTGGCCTCGGCTGGATTCGACGAATCCTGTCCTCAGGAGCAAGAGGAGGCAGAAGTGGCCCATGTCCACTCAGCTGTGAGAAGTGTTTCAGATCGTGCTGTGACGTGTGTCTGCTGTTAACTAGAAAATGAAGTGTGGCGCGCATGCTCCCAGTGACTCGGCTTCCGGCTCACACGATCTCCTCTCTGTCCCAGAGCTTCTGATGTGCATTCCCAGTGTTGGGTTTCTTGGCTTTTAATGACCTTATATTCCTTCCTCGGTATGGATGTCATGCAAATTCTGAATGCTGATCTTCAAAGACCAGCAGGAGGTGGGCAGCAGAGTCCAGTGACTTTGGAATTCCTGAAATTTCTGTTTGAAAACCTGGACTTTAGCTTATTAATGCCTCCACTCAAGAAGCTGGGTTCCTCTGGTTGAAGGGGAAACTGTGGCCCTGCATTTCAGGATAACGTTAATTACATAATAATTAGCTCTCGCCTATAGGGCGAGGCACAGGGGATCCTTGGTCCGTGCCTCTGGCTACACTTGTATCATGGAACAAAGGCCCTGGGAACCACGCTGCTGGCCTTCCTGCCCCATCTTTGTCTGGCGACCCGCCGCCCTGGGCTTGGGACCAAGGAGGCTTCCGAACCTGGTGCAGTGCTGGCCAAGAGGTCTGCTTGTCCCGTTAGCTTGGCACCAGGGCCCTTTTGGGGGAGCTGTGTGGGGACTGGCAAGCACCGTTCACCTGTTCAGAGGCCCTGACGCTTTCCGTGGCGGGCAGGTGCTGGCTTCTTATCATGGAAGTAGAAAAAGTGGCTCAGAGTGCCAGGTGGGGACCTGGGGGCCTGGGGAGAAGACTGCAGGGTCTGAAATGTTTCAAGAGACTCGGCTCTCCCTAGGGTATGCCAAAGTGTGATCTCAGCACACAGCGCTTTGTTTCCCCTTCTCCCCGTGTGCTGGGTCACCCGGGAGCACAGCAACTCGGGAGGGTGAGTGGGGTGGGCGGCCCGGCTTGGGCCTTATTTCTACTTAGAGCTTGGTCTCAAGGGAAATGAGGGAGGCGACTGAGGGCTAAGGCTCCCCACCTCTGGGCACCAGGGCAGCCAGTTCAGCATCAGGTGTCCGCGTGAACAATTCAATAGAGCACTCTACGCTCTATTTGCTGCATTAGGGAACAGTGCATCTCGTTATAAAAACTGAACAGCAGCGAGGCCACTTTTTGAGCAATTCCCTGGGCCAGATCCTGCTGGCGCATTTATGTACACACTCGCTAACTGCTGGGGCCAACTCTGAAGGACTTTAGTGCTGAAAAGTTGTAAAGGTCACACAGATTACGTATTCTGAGAGTTGGTGTCAGTGTGCATTTTTCCAGTTAGAATTAATTAGCTCACTTAATTCTCAGAACACTTATGAAAAGACACTTGTGAAAACCATTTTTAAAACCAGGCATGGGGGTGCACGCCTCTAACATCATGATTTGAGGAGGCTGAGGCAGGAGGGTCACAGGTTCCAGCCTAGTCATTGGACCCTTAACGAGACCCTGTCTCAAGATAAAAAATGAAAAGTCTTGGGGCTGTAGCTCAGCAAGAAGGCCCTGGGTTCAACTCTAGTACAGGAAAAACAACAACAACAATAAAACATAAATAGTTCTATATTTTTTGTGCGGGGTCTGAACTCAGAGCGTTAAGCACGGGAAGGACATGCTTTACCACTGAATCCTGCCCCATGCTGGAACCTCAGTCCGCATCCGGCAGAGAAGGGAATGTGCCCGCCATCCCCAGCTCCAGGAAGGAGGGTGCTGGGGACTCGGTGTGTGGGAGGAGGAGGAATCTGGGGTTTCCTGATTTATTTTATTTCAGTGGTAAAAAGATGGAACCCAGGGCCCCAGCATGCATGAAGAGCCTGGACCTCCTCCCTTCACAGCCAGGGTTTCCAGTGTCACTGCTCTCAGTAGGTCTCCTGGTAGCTTTCTCCGAAGGGTCAGTGGTGTCCTGGCCCATTCTCAGGAAGAACCTGCACGGGGGCTCCTTCAGCAAGGGTGCCCCTTCCAGGCCTGGCTGGCCAGGTCCCTGTCCCTGGCTCGGTGACCAGGGACGAAGGCCAAGCTCGTCCACACATCCAGACCCAAGCCAGATGGCTCTGTGTGCTTCAGCGGCTGGGACACCCAGAGTCACCTTGACCTCTCCGTCCCACAGCTCTGTCCCCTGGCGAACAGTGCCCAGGACTCCCCGGCCTGTGTGCTAACGGCCCGCAGGGGAGGGACACTTTAGCCAGGAAACAAACCCTCCTCTCCCTGTGTGCTTCCTCGCTTTCCGCTTCTCTAATCTGGCACTTCCCCTTTGCCGCGTGAGCTGCCGACTGGAAGCAAACGCTCTATAAATTAAGAGGACTATGAACTTCACCGGGCCCTCCAGGTCCCTCTGCCTGGGTTTCCCGGCCTGCGTGGAGGCGCTCACAGCCACCCAGGCTGTGAGCCCGGGACAGCCCGGGACAGCCAGGAAGCAGAGAGAGAAGGGAAAAGCTAGGGCCAGAGCTCTGTCCTCTACAGGCACCTATGCAGGGACCCACTTCTACAGCCCAATCCCACCTTCTAAGAGCAAATTTGGCTAGGAATTCACCCATGAATGCACCAATGAACATAGCTCCCTCATGATCCAATCGCAGTCCTAAAGCTCCACCTCTGGACACCAGACAACAGGGACACTTTCCATCTAAATCAGGACAGACTGGTGCTGTGGTTCCAGAACTTCAGTGTGCTGGAATCCCCCAAGGGTTGTCAAAACACAGATTCCTTGGCCCCACGCACTGAGTCTCTGCTTCGAGGTGGGGTGGGATTGTTGGGTTTCTCACGAGTTCCTGGGTGGTGCTGCTGAAGCCCCCTTCGAAGATGGTTGGAGGGGCCAGAGGATACCAAGAGGGGGGTGGATCAGAGCTGGTCAGGGAGCAGGAGGCCCCCAGGCCCCCAGGAGCTCACCGCCTCAGCAAGGGCTCCTTATTGAGTTGGTTCGCTGAGGTGGTGACAGGGCCCCTGCTGGAAACAGATGGCTGGCCCTGGGGGTTTTACTGCAGTTCCTTCTGTGCGGAGCAGCAGAAACGGGTGCGTTCTTTGAACTTTGATGATGAGACTCATTTTCCTTGATGGTGTGTATTAATCACCAGATGGGAAACTCTTCTGTGTAAGGAAGGTCATAAAGATAAGCTGTGACATCCGAATGGCTGAGTTTCTTTTCTCTCATCAGTGTGGTTCAGATCTAATGTGGACAGGCTTTTCTTCTTCTTCTTTGGAGTTTTAAATCATGAGTTCTGATGTCTCAGCTCATCTGCAAATGCCAAGGCAGAAGAGGATGCACCTCTGTTCTCATTTCCAGTTCCCTATGTCCTGTTGGTTGCAATCGACCAGTATACGATACAGATTTTAAAAGTTCAAACTTGCCGCTAACAGGGAGACAGTATTTGGTTATGAAATCACCGAGATTCTTCCTCCTATGCATGGTCATTAGCAAAAGAATGCTATCTGATTTTTTTAAGAGCTGGGGATCAAACCCAGGGCCTCATCCATGCTAACAAGCACTGGACACCAAGCTGCTGCTTAGCCTCCCGAGTCTATTTTAAAAGCCTACTTCACAAACCATTTCAGTGAGCTGAGGGAACATGGGAACTGGCATGACTTTCTCCATGGCAGTCAGTCCTTAGGAGAAGTAATACTAAAATCCCCAGACAGGTGTATGAGAGCAAATATGCAGGAAATGATGTTTTATAGTAAAGATTTTTAATAAACAGCAGCATAAAATAATCAGTGTTTAATATCATTTCTGGGTGTGAAATACAAATGCGTATCTCCTCTACATAAAACAGGCTCCTTGTCAGTACAGTTCCAAGCTTGTCCTCTTGAAATGCCCAGAATAACAAATTAAACTTAAGTAATATAGTGATTATGTGCATGCAGTGAAAATAAAGGGAAGATATAGCAAGGTGAGCTATCTAATTACGGTCCTTATATACTTGAAGAAAACCTACTGAGTTAGAGACAAAGGAAACCAGGAAACAGACCAGATATAAAAATGCAGAGATATATTTTCACTTCTGTGATACAAACCATAAACATAGTTTTGTGCAAAAAAAAAAGAATCTGAAAAATAAAGTCATCTTACAAAACATTGTCAATAAGGCAAAAGATATTTTTTCAGTCTGTGAAAAAAATACTATTTAATACAAAGGGACTGTGTTTTGCAATATCACAGTGCTGTTAGAAAATACATTATTATAAGTGGTTTTGAAATTTAGTTTGCTTACCTTAATGATCTGTTATTACAAACTGTTTAAAAATAAACATCGTAGTTCTTTATAAAAAACTAACTTGAATTTATTTTTTTAATCATGAGAATGTTTTTCCAGAGAAGTATTTTACTAGCTCATGGAATGCTAATTTCCCTTTAAGGGACTCCTTAGAAAAACTCAGGTTCACTGAAGTTGTGTTTACTTCAAACAATAAATATTCTTGGAAAACGATTGATTGTCATATGATAAATTGTGGTTTGAAGCTTCATCATTAAACAGTTGCATAGCAACAAAGGATTCAAATATTCTCCTTTACCTAAAGTTAATATAGCGTCTGAATCAGCTTACTTGCCCTACAACACTACGTCTCAATTTATCCCCAGGAAATCAGCCAATTTGCGAGTTCACCATACCTATAAGTCTGCATTTGTTGTTTGAAGACTCAGGCTTGGGAAAATTGCAACACATTTTGGTAACCGGATTGCCCTGACTTGTGTGTGCGTTAACTGTATTTTTACAACTAGACCATGAAGGTCTTTCTAATTCTCTCATGTTCTGCTCACAATGTACACCCAGGAATTCCTTCGCATTCCGTCTCTTTCAGTCTCTTACAGCTTTAAAATAAAAACGAGACCCGGAGACACTGTTCTTGGAATAAAGGAGTTATTTTCTTTAACCAGAGAGAAGTCACATATAAAAGTTCTTTCTATATAGAACTTGAAACCCAGCAGAATTCTAAACTTGGCCAAAGATGCTGGCAGGTAGATGCCCGAGAGGCGCATGTGACGCCTCCCTCTGAGGAGGGCGAGAAGGAGGCTGCTGGTGACGCTGAGAGAGCACGGGAGTCCAGTTCTTGGTAGCCTTGGACATGAGAACCCAGAAAGTATTTGGCAGAGCCCTGCACAGGAGGCTACACTGGCTTTGGGTTCCGACTAACTGCATGTAAATCGCGATGAATCGTGGGGCTGGAATGCAATTTCTGAACTGTTCTAGCACAGAATAAGGAAGGCGAGAGCCCGGCCCTGATTACTGATGCTCTCGCTGGGCTCCTGCTGTTGGGGACAATGGATAGTCCCCCGACACCTGGAGCTCTTGTCATCACAGCTGCACATCTGTCCTCATTCGCAGCTGCCTCTGCCTCAGTGTCACCACTCCGGGAAGCACCTGGGGGCTGACACCCTGGGGACCCTGGGTCCTGTCCCAGGGACACCTGACTGGGCTGAAGGACCATTTTGCTGACTGTGCCTCTCCTGCTGCCTCATCACTTACGCAGCAACATGAGGTCAATCAACAATCAATTCCAGCACCCAGCTCCAGTAGTGTTTGGGTCCTATGCCCTGCGCCGTTCAAGGGCTTGTGTAAACACATAGTGACAAGCACAACGTGGGAAGGCCATCACATCCGAATAGGAGGTCCCTAGAGAGGCACACGCTGAGCCCCCCCTCCCCCAAGAAGCCCTGATATGAGGAGGCTCGGGGGCATGGGAACCTCGCTCTATGGCTCATTTCCACCCAGGATTTCAAATTTGGTTTGCTGTTTCCAGAACGGCTTCTGAACCTTGCCTGCATACAAACATGAGCCGAGTGTAGACTGCATCACGCTCGCTCCCCGGCGCTGGTCCTGAGCGGGGCATCAGGAAGACGAAGCACAGCAGACTCGGTAGGCCGGGAGCAGGATGGGGAGGCACAGGCGAGGCACCGCGACTCTGCTCGGTTTGCGGCTTGCTTCCTCCTCGCTGGTGTGAAGTTTCCGGTACTGGACGGAAACCCCGGGTCCCAACCCCAGGGCGCGGGCGGGAAGCGCCGTCCCTTGGGGTCTTCCTGGCCTCTCTGTCTGCTCGGTGAGACGTGGCTGAACTTCACAGAAGATACTTGCTGCAATGTCTGCGAGATGAGAACCTTATTCAGTAAAACATCTGGATACAAATCTCCTCTACGGCTGGCTTCCTCGTGTGTCCTGCTGACCACATTCACCAGTCCTCCCTTTACAGCTCCGCGGAGACCATCGACTCACTGTGCCCGTGAATGTTGGCGTCTCCCAGCAGCGACGGCTGCTTGGAGTCTATTTTGTAGGGCTTCTGAGCTTTGTTGCCGAAGACTGTGATGCCCATTCCGCCAGCGGGATGGCTGGGGAGGGACATGTGCGGCAGGAGGGGGATGTTGGCTTCCTGATTGGACCCCGAGGAGGGCAGGCTGGTCACGTGGCCGGTGCTGGTGGAGCCACTGGCGCTGCTTGGGGACCGGCTCTTGGGAGGGGGGCAGTGCGGGATCACCCTGGGGGGACCAGCCGGCTGGTAGTGGGCAGCGGGGAAGGCTGCGTAGCCGGGAGGTATCGGGTATCCGTTGATGGGGATGAAGCGCTGGCTCTGAGGTATTGGGGGGCCGATGAAGCCGGCGATCTGGCCCTGCGGGATGCCCTGGCCGGGGAACATGTAATTGGGAAACCTGGGGTTGCTGAGATTGCTCACCGGGCTGGCACTGAGGGAGGTGGTCTGCGTGGTGGCATTTCCCCCCGAGGGTGTGGTGGAACTGGTGTGACTGGACAGCCCCTCCCAGGACCGCAGGCGGACGTGGATGTCTTTGAACCTCGGCCTCCGGGAAGGAATCTCGTTCCAGCACTCGGTCATGAGGCTGTACATGCGGGGCGGGCAGTCCTCGGAGCAGGGCAGGAGCTGCCCCTTGCGCACCATCTCGATCACTTCCTGGTTGCTGAACCCGTAGTAGGGCTGCAGTCCGAAGCTGAAGATCTCCCACAAGACGACCCCGAAGGACCAGATGTCCGAGTCGGAGGAGAATTTGCCGTACAGGATGGCCTCGGGGGGCATCCAGCGAATGGGCAGCAGGGACTTACTCTGCACCCTGTAGTAATCCGCGGAGTAGATCTCCCTGGAGAGCCCAAGGTCTGAGATCTTGACGTGCAGCTGCTCCCCAATGAGGATGTTGCGTGCCGCCAGGTCCTTGTGTACGAAGAAGTGGCTGGACAGGTACTCCATGCCCGCGGCGATCTGGATGGCGATGTGCAGGAAGTCCCCATGGTCCAGGCTGGACTTCACCGTGCCGTCCTCGTCGCTGCTGCAGCCCACGTCGGAGTGTGGGGACCGCATGATGAGGAACTCGTGCAGGTCCCCCTGGTTCATGTACTCGAAGAGCAGGCACACGGGCTGCTCCTGCGTGACGGCGCCCAGCAGGCACACGACGTTCGGGTGGTGCAGCTCGGCCAGCAGCGAGGCTTCCTGCTGGAACTCTGTCCACTGCTGCGGGCTGTTGCAGTCTTTCAAGGTCTTGATGGCCACTAGCTGGGCGTGGTCCATGCCGGGGAGGTAGAGGTGGCCCTTGTAGATCTTCCCAAGGGAACACTCCCCCAGCTCCTCCATGAAACGTACAGCGGACAGCGGCAGCTCCTTGGCCTTGCTCTGGGGAAGAGGAAGGGAACATGTGGGTTAAAACGTTTCCAAGGAGTCCAGCATCCGGGAGGGAGGAGGGGGAGCCGGCAGGAAAAGGCTCTATAAATAGATCAAAAGCTTAAGCTGAAACTAATGGTGATGTGTTTCTTTAAATTTTCAGCAGAGTAAATCTTACCGATCATTATAGTTTTGTTTGCAATAGCAAAAGATTAGAAATAACCGAAATGTGCCCTAGGGGAGCCTGGTTAAATAAATTATGGCGGGGCTGGTGATTATTGCACATTTCGTGCAGTCCTGAGAAAAGTGGGGACGTTTACTATGTGTTGCCAGAGAAGGTTCTTCAGTCTTACTGTTCCTTAAAGATAAAAAGCAAAGGCAGGGTTAATGCTGGGTGCTACCATTCTGTAAAAGGAGACAAATATAGGATATTTCCACTTCTTTGCATAAAGGAAGCAGGAGAAGGCTTACAGGAGGAAGGTGGTGGTGGCCACTGAGTGTGGGATTTTCACCTCATACTTTCTAGTTCAAAATTTCTGAGCCAGAGATGTGATCTCTCCATTTAAAAAACTGAATAATTAAATTTAAAAACATCTGGCCAATCTTATCATCTGAATGATCAGATTTTTTTTTTCCTGTAACAATAGTGTGTCCATTAGTTTTCCTTTGCTTACTGGGTCTGGGTCTCCTGCGTGCTGAGCAGGTGCAGGTGTTGGGCTTTGCTCCAAGCCTGGGGTCTGCACGGGAAAGGAGGAGGAGAAAGGTTATGAACTGAACAGACTCTGCCTGTTTCTCTTGCAGCATTCAAATGGCTACTTTCGGGGGCAAGGGTCACCCAAGGTGACTTTTTCCCCCTGTAAGAAGATGTTATAGTTTAGATCTAGATGTCCCCCCCCCCACCATCATTCACTCAGAAGTGGGACCTGTAGATGGTGGTTGGACAGGGAGGGGTGGGGCTGGATGGAAGAGGCAGCCATGGGGGCGTGGCCTGGAAGGGTTCAGCCCCCTCCCTCCCGGGTCCTCCTTCCTCTGGCTGCTTCCTGTCCACCATGCAGTGAGCCGTCCTCTTCTGCCAGCCCCTTTGCTGTGGATCACTGCCTTGAATCACTGCCTTGAAGCCAGCCGAGGATGGACTGAAGCTTGACCCAAAATAAAATGTTTTATTCCAGCAGTGAGAAAGTGAATAGGACAAGGGATTTCAGCAATGATGTTTGTTAATGGTGTGAATGAGGCCGGTTGATGTAACACTCATTTGAACAGGATGGTGGCTATTACTTTGTGACTTGCACTGAATCCCTAGGCTTTTGATGACAGAGAAGGTAAGAGACTGGTACTAAAACTTCCTGTGGCAAAATGAGAATTAGGAAATAAACTTATGCAATATTAGACTCATTTAATGGGGTGCTAAAGCAGCACCCTCTTCTCCCCCATTGCTCGAGATTAACCCATGACAGCGCGGTATGATTCAAACCAAGTGAGCCTTGAACTCATGCAAATCTGGGTTTGCATCTTGGGACTGCTGTTTTTTGTTAATGCTCCAAGTACCGAGTGAGCCTTCACTCAGGCAGCAGCATTTTGCCACAGGTCCTGCACGTTAGCTGCTGACCCTGGGTGCCTCCTAACTTCTCTGTGCCTCTGTCCACACCCATACAATCCTGTTAAGAACGGCCTCACATGGCTGCGGAAGGAAATAAATACAACACCGTATATAAAAGTAATTTCCACCCACCCGGACCTTCTCTTTAAATCATTTTTCTTATCCTTGTGAAGGGGAGTCAATGCAGATGATTTATGTTTGTAGCCTTTGGGAGCTCCAGCATCTTAGATAACTCCCCATGCTTTCGAAGATCCCGTTTGAGTGTCTTCCTGTTAGCCTGGCTCTGCTCTCTGGTAGTTCTCAGTTGTTGTTTTTAAAATCTTACAAAGTGAAAGCAGATTAGTGTGGCGCCTGGGCAGTGCCACAGCCCTGATCCCCTGAGGATGCCAGGAGGCGCAGGTGGTGGTGGGGCTGGGGGAACAGATGTGGAAGAGCGGATCGGGAGCACTACAGGCCCCACTAGGGGATAGCAGTGGGGAGGAAGCAGTGGATGCCACACAGCCCGGGCCCCTGGAGCTGGCCCCATTCCCCGCCACTGTGGTAAGCAAGCTGGTTCTCTTAGGTTCATTTCTGGGAGAAAAATTCTTTAATTTTTGCTGGAGGAAGAGGCTCAGAGGAAGGGTGGGGAATTCTTGGGGTGCTGAAAAAGTTGTCGTGGCATCTGCAAGATGTCTGTCTGAGCCACTCTACTGTGGTGGACACCAGTGCAGCCTGCTGGCCAGCTCGCCCGCTGGACACACACACAGGAATCTAAAGCTGCTCAGCCCGGGCCACACTACGTGGGTCACCAGCTCCAGGTGCAGAGCCTGGTGGAACTGGGACCTTTTGACCCATAAGGAAGGGGCCTTTGGCCCAGTGTGGCTGGGACCTCAGTGACACCCACAGGCGGCAGCTGCGTCATGCTTGCCTCCAGCCTGTGAGGAAGGACTGTTCTCCGCAGCTGTGCAGAACCACATTTTCCCCTAGAGCTCCTCAAAGCCAAATGCGGGGATCTGCTTTGAAAGGAGGCAGCAAGAGCCCCCAGCATGGCAGATCGCGCCAAAGCCTCTCCTGGACACCTGTATGAGAGCTCCAGGGAAACACCCAGGAAAAGTGACCTGGAGCTGGGTTTTGGGGCGGGGGAGGCGGGGAGCCGTTTACACAGCGATTTTTATTTTTTAAATGCTCAAGTTACTTGGCACAAAGGAGTCCTAACTATAGAGCCATTTTCAAATTTTACCTAAATCCTGAACTAGTTAAAAAATAATAAAGACCCTTAGAGAAGCAGCCAGTAGGCTGTGAGGGGCGGCAGGAAACTAGCTGTATTGTTGGGGAACAGATGGTTTACATTACGCAAACCCTTTAGGCTCAACTTGTTTAGGTCTGGCGTATTGTAAATTATATTTCAGTAATGAAAGTGAAATGACCTCCGCTTGACCCCGAGCGGGCTCTGTCTGTTGGAGCCCGTGGACTGGGAAACCATGAAAGAAAATGAAGTCATAAAGTTTTGGCAGTTCAATTTGGGCTCATTTCAAGTTAAGGGTTATAAATCTGTTTAGTTTTCGTTTGACAAGTATTTGTCATACAGGGATGTACAGAATGTAAAGAAGTGTAAAATACACAGGGGGCCCAGGGCCAAAATAAACCGAGTACAAAGGCACAGCGGAGCAGCCGGCCGGGCGTCCACCTCTCCATCACCCTTCCATTAGCCGGGCAGTGGACGGCTCGGTTTATGGCATGCCGTGAGGCACTTAAGTACCTCGAGTGAACTAGGCTTTCGGTGAGATGTTAACATTTTACTCCTCAAAGTAAACACACATCTGCCTCAGTGTGGGTTTAGAAATTATATAATTTTGGGGGGGCCCAGATAAGGTTGATGTGGAAGCTGATAGCTGGCTGAAGACCCAAGGGTGCCTCTTCCTAGGGGCATTTGTGGACGGTGACTGGCGGGGCTGGCCAGGGGGCAGCTGCATGGGCCGAAGTGGGCAGCCTCTCTGACCCGAGCCATGTGCATACAGTGGGCACATGTGGACATCTCCCATCTCTCCACTTCGTACAGGAAAGCAGGGAACCATTGTCCACTTTTAAAACATGGTAGTGAATACAGATGGATGAAGAAATTCCATTAGACCAGTTACCCCCATCTGGGCACAGTCACACAGGGATCCATGCACGCTCGCATTCACGGCAGTACAACCCCAAATAGCCAAATTCCAGAGCAGCCTCTGTGCCCATCCACACAGGAATGGATGGAGAAGCTGTGATACTGACACCGTGGAGCACTACTCTGCCATAAAGAAGGATAAGCTTCAGTCGTCCACAGGAAAATGTTTGCACTCTGAGACCGTGATGTTAGGGAGGTGAACCAGATACACACGCTTAGCTGCTACCTGACTTCTCCTACATGAAACACCCAAAACATACGTCAATTAAAGAGCAAAATAAAAGCCAGGTATAGAAAATGGAGATGGGGGAGGGGAAGGGGATGGAAATCGACGGAGACACGTTGGCCTCTGCACCGCTCCACGGAGGACTGGGATTGTTACAAAACTCAGCCATGCACTAATGAAAATGAGAACTGGAAACAAAAGGGCCAGGGCAGGGACCTCGTCCCCGGGGAGGAGAACTGGAAGGGGCCTGGGCGAGTCCAGCTGGCCTCAGCCACAGCCGCAGCCACAGCCTCAAGGACGAGAAGCAAAGCTGCTGGCAGGTGGGAAGTGGGGCTGGGTGGCCCAAAGGCCCCGCTGTAAGCCGCTTTGGGGTGCCAGTTCCCAAGTGTGATGACTAGGCGGATCCCGAGGCTGCTCTGGGCAGGCAGACTCATGGTGCTCATCCTCGTTCCATTAGATAACGGGAGACAGACCGTGGTCCTATGGAGGTCAGATGGGCAGGCTTGGAAGCAGGAGGGCATCGCCAGCCCCTTTGCCCTTTGGAGGCACAGTTTCGGACTCCAGGAAGCAGGTCTCCCCAGCCTGGGGGCCCTGGTCAAATGCAATCACCAGTCCCACCTTGAATCTCTGGTTGTACAGGCCTGAGATTCTCCCTGTGTGACAGCCGGTGGGCTGAGCGGGGTGCTGACCTGGAGACTCCACTGGGGAAGCCACGGGAGTACAAAGCCTTCAGGACCAGATGCTGGTGGGGCTGGCAATCTGAGTCCCTGCACCAGGGACCACCAGGAATGACCAGGAACGGCCAGGGTATGTCCAAAGTACCTGGCTGAGCCATTCCCACTAAAATGAGTGGAAGAAACGCTGCTTGGAAAGATGCTTTGAAAATGCAGGAGGAAGAAAAGTGCCAGAATCACTGACCAGCAATTACCGGCTTGAATTCAAAGTTCTGAGCAATCAGTCTTTCAGCAGGCGCCGTGGTGCCTGTAACCCCAGCCACTCAGGAGGCTGAGGCAGGAGGAGTATCACGGGTTCAAGTCAGCCTGGGC